GTGGTGATGATGATGATGACAATGTGGTGATGATGATGATGATTTTTATGAAACGCACCGAGCAGCGATAACTTCTCGGTAAAGTTTAAATTTTTAAGATCTCCTTTTTTTCGTTTCTGATGTTCGTCTGTTTTTTTCTTCTTTCTTGAATTATCGCGAATAACAATGAAACTATTGTTCATCAGGTTTGTTGGTTGGTTGGTTGTTTGGTTGATTGGTAGGTTGACTAGTTGATTTTATGATAATTTGATTGACAAAATGACCATTCAAGTGATTGATTGTATGATTAGATGTTTGTTAATTGTTCTGAGTGATTGACGACTTGAAATGTAATACTAATTGATGTTCGTTGTTTACCAGCTAGTTGGTTGATGGCTGGCTGGTCGGTTGAATGGTTTTGTACTTTGTATACAGGCTTCGACTGGTTGCTATGTTGGTTGGTTGGCTGGTTGATTGACTCATTTTTTTTCATCCGCATGTTGCAGGCTAGAATGTAAAAATGAAGGAAATTGATTCGAATGTATGTAAATAGCCACACAGTAGCAGGACGATGACGATGTATGATGAGATCGGCCTTCTTGTCTGCTTACCTCGAAATCTTAGTTATGCACGTTTGAAAGGCACGCTACTATCCTCTCACTATCGATTTTACATGATCTAAATTTATTAATTTCGACCTGTCTTGTCGTCTTCGTCGTCATCATCGTTGTAGATTTTATATTTATTATCATAATATCATTATCAATTTTAAAAACGTTATGATGATCGTGCTCGTGATGATGTCGTCAGGTTGTGGTTAACTTTATTTCAATCTTTAATTCGTATCATCATCTTCAATGCATCATCTGAAGCAAAATCATTTTCGTCGTTAGTTACTCCGCCTTATCGAAATCATCATCATTATTATCATCATAACATCATCACATCACATTTCTATTATTATTATTATTATTATTATTATTATTATTATTATTATTATTATTATTATTATTACTACTACTACTACTACTACTACTAATACCCGCACTGTAAACAGCCAGAGACAGAAATTGTCACTAGGAAAAACTTTTTGGTATGGCTCTGTTAGAGCGCGCCCACTGCTGTCCTCAACGTCGTGTCATCATTAGTCACTCATCACTCATGTCATCTTTACTCTTATCGTTGACATCATCACCTACTATATCATCATTGTTGCCCAATCTATCCATCCGTATATGACGTGATATGATATCCGTATGTGATATCCGTAAGTCGTTATTATTATTATCATTATCTGTGTATGTAATTAGAAGTGAGATTAACGTTGTTGCTACTTAATTCACATCACTGTCCTTATTATCATAATCCTTCTTCTCTATCAAAATTACCAGTACCATATCATCATCTTCTTCTTTTTCATTCTCATCTTCTTTTTCACCGTCATCTTCTTCATCATCATCTTTTCCTTCATTTTTATTATCATCATCTTCTTCCTCCTCATCATCTTCATCATTATTAACTTCTTCTTCACCATCTTCATCATCGTCTTCTTTTTCATCATTCTCGTCATCTTTATCATTATCTACTTCTTCATCGTCATCAACTTCATCATCATCTTCTTCATCATCATCTTCTTCTTCATCATCCTCATCATTCTGCCTGTAATTAAATCTAGCAGCAAGCGTCTCTATTAAGAAACACAGGGCTTGTTTTCTGAGCCGATGTTTTCTCAAGAAATCGCTAAGACAGCGGGAGAGAGAGAAAGGGAGAAAGAGAGAGAGAAAAAAAGAGAGAACTAAAATAAGACAAAGAAAGGAAGGGATTGAAAATGATGAAGAAAAAGAAAGTGGATGAGGAAGCGAAAAATAAGAGACATTTGAGAATCAAAGAATTTATGGAGAGAGAGAGAGAGAGAGAGAGAGAGAGAGATTGTTGAAGAAAGTATATATAAGAGAAAACGCGAGAAAGCGAGAGTTAAAAGATGGAAAGAATGAAAAAAAAGAGGAAGAGGATGAGAAGGAGGGAGAGAGAAAAATTTGAAGAGGAATTTCAATTTGTTCAGAGAAACACTGCGCTGTTTATGCGCTAACATGTAAATCATTTGTCGACGAGCGTTGTGGTCGGGCTGGTGGTGGCGGTAGTAGTAGTTGTGTGGTGGTGATGATAGTAGTAGTAGTTTTTGTTGTGATGATAATGATGTTGATAATGATATGATTTAGTGATGATGATGATGATGGTGATGGTGATGATGATGATAGTGATGATGATGGTGATGATGATGATGATAGCTGCGATGTCAAGCGATCACAAGAATGAAGATTTTAACATTTGAATGGTGATGATAATGATGAGGACAGAAATGACGACGACGACGACGATGACCATGATGAATTTCAAGGAAAGTTTATTCAAAAACATAAACGGTAGTAAATTATGATAATGATTGTATCGTACGTAATGTGACGTCACGTGATGTTATAAGAATTTGTGGATGTATTTCTTTGAAATAAGATTTTAAAGAAAAAAAATGTCAGTAAATAATTATTTTATTACTTTATAAAAGACTGACCTGGTTAGCAAATATTAGTATCGAGATAAACTCGTTGTTTAATAACATAATATTTTCGCAATTGAAATATAATAAACTCTGATCAAAATGATTGATTGACCAAACAAACTGTCACTCATTCATTTATTCACTCATTCATTCATTCGTTCATCCATTTTTTATTTCATTAATTCATTCTTTATTTCATTAATTAATTCATTTGTTTGTTCATTCGTTCGCTCGGTCGTTCGTTCTTTCATTCGTTCGTTCATTCATTCGTTCGTTCGTTCGTTCATTCATTCATTCATTCATCCATTCATTCACTCATTCACTCACTCACTCACTCACTCACTCACTCACTCACTCATTCATTTCTTCGTTCATTCGTTTGCTTTACGTATTTTAAAACGCGTGCCATTTATAAATTATTTCATTTTGTTTTCATTGTTTTGATGAATAAACGAATTGTGAATTGTGAATTTCTTTCGCTAAGTAAGTTTTCTATTTTTATTTTTATCATCATCCCACTGACATTTATTCAAAAAATTCTATCGACACCATGTTATGATGATGAATCTCCACCATTACTAATAACCTTACGCCCGACGCCCTTATCCTGTCATCATCATCATCATCATCATCATCACCATCGTCTGTCTATCATTCTGTCTGTCTGTCCGTTCGTCCGTCCATCCATGTATCTTGTTGTTGTTGTTGCTGTTTTTGTTGTTGTTGTAATCTGCTGTCATCCATCCGACAGCCTATCATGATTTCGATTTTTTTTCTTCATTCTATTTTTTAATTATTTAATCCATATTTTATTGATTTGTAAATAAATAATTTTACATTTTTATTTAGGAGTATTATAAGTATGTACGTATGTATATAATTTGTATAAATTTATGTATAAATGAATGAATGATACAATATATGTATATATATATATATGTTGGTAATAGACCATAATTTTTACAATATTCTATAAATTCTACCGAAGGTTTGGCGTTAACATGTTTGTATTTCGTTTTATATATATATATATATATATATATATATATATATATATTGAGGTTAATAATATATATATATATAAATATATATATATTGAGGTTAATAATATATATATATATATATATATATATATATCATAGACATCTTAAATTAGTTTAAAGCGTCTATTATATATATATATATATATATATATATATATATATATATTTTTACAATATTCTATAAATTCTATAATATTCTATAATTCTATATATATGTCTGTGTTATATTTATGATACGTCAATATTTTCAGCAATTATTTTTTGAAAACATTGTGTTATGCGAAACGGATAAATTGATAAAAATTTCAATGATGATTGACGTGATGATGTTGAGGATGATGATGATGACAGATGTGATGGCAGATGTGTTGTTGATAATGATGATAACAGATGTGATGATGATGATAACAGATGTGATGATGATAATTAACCATTTAAAAACAAATCACCAACGATGAACGAATGAATGAATGAACGAACGAACGAACGAACGAATGAATGAATGAATGAATGAATGAACGAACAAATGAATAATTTCGTCAACAGATGCACATAGAATTAGCTGGTTGTACGGATGAATAAAATAAATAACGAATGAATGGATAGATGGATGGATGGATGGCCAAAAATAGGTTGATTGATATATATTTTATTGATTATTCATTTCAAACTGTCGGCTCTATTAAGCTTTAATCATTAAACATTGAATCGACTTCTGTTTCAATGAATTTATGAAAACATTATAATGTATAATCTTTCATGCTTGATGATGTCTACCGGTACGATGTGCAATTGGCATTCGTAAGTATAAGCTGTCTCTATAATTAATACATACACACACGTGCTACACACACACATACACAAACACACACACAGAACACACAGACAAACTCACGTATACATATCACAATGCAACTACTTCCTGAAGTTTATATGGGATATCAAAATAACTGACCGGTGTGCAACAAAGTGACCACAAAGTGACCACTGACCACTTTTAGCATTTACAACCAAGACACGACAACCATATGAATAGACATCTATGAGGATGAAAAATAAGGAAAAGATGGCAAGGAAGTAATCATCTCTTCCTTTCTCGCAATGCCTTTGCTCTTGAAGCAAAGTTTTCATTCAGTTCGACTCCTGGTAAGACAGTGTAGCAGTCTAACCGCTGACGTAAAAAATCTTATCGATGTTTTATTTCGTCGAGGGTCAATGCTTTTTCCACCATCGGAAAAGAGTTGAAGGCCAACAAACGCAAATTATTTGCAACTCCTCCTTCACAACAACTTTACAACATCCTCACAACAACTCATTTGCAGTTCAATTTTTAACTTTTCAATAAAATGACCAAAAAGGTGAATGCGACCATTTTATTTTTATTTTTCTGCCTCGAAGTACAAAAACGGTTTAGCTGCAAGTATGTTGTAAAGTCGGAAGAATGATACGATTGGTTTGGTTTGAGGGGCGGTCAAATTTTTGATTCAGCATTTAATGATTTTGTAAGTCAATTATTTTATGGGCGTCATTTTTTTGTCAAGAAATGTTGCTGGTGTTTCTGGAGTTGATGATCTCGCATCCATGTCTCTTGGAAGTGGTCACTGTTGTTTACCCTGGAATGTAATTTCTAAAGATTGGTGTGTGAGTGTGTGTGTGTGAGTATGTGTGTGTGTATGTATGTGTGAGTGAGTGTGTGAGCATAAACGTTGACATTAAGAGTGAAACAAAGAAATAAATTTTGACAAAAATGTTAGCGCCAAAAATATTTTCTAAATTTATATTGATGTTCCACCAAACATCATAGGCTATTTAATTTATCGCATACAACGACATCCCTAGATACACGCACATTCTTACATACACGCGAACCTCATACATGCATGTGCAACTTCAATGATACCTCGCAACCACCTCGCAACCGCCTCAATTAGACCATCAACATGTAGCAATTGAGTCTCGCATCGCCTCAACCAGACCTGCAACATGTACTAGGTAGGTCTCGCAACCGCCTCAATCCGGCCAGCAACATGTAGCTGGTGGGTCTAGCAACCGCCTCAACCAGGCCAGCAACATGTAGCAGGTAGGTCTAGTAACCGCCTCAACCAGGCCAGCAACATGTAGTAGGTCGGTCTCGCAACCACCTCAACCAGACCAGCAGCTTGTAGCAGGTGGGTCTCGCAACAACAATTATACGGTACTTTAAACGCATGACACGCAGGTGATGAATGATAGACGGTCTCTGTGTATAGCGCTTCTTATATACGTCGGCTGTATTTCTTCTGATTGTATGTCAATTTAAATAACTATACATATATACACACACATTATATCCTATATAAATGTAAATATAAATAAATAAATATAAACATATAAACATAAATACACACACAAACACACACATATACACACACACACTTTACTTACAATTATATATATATATATAATTGTATATAATATACATACATTATGAAGTATGTAAATGTATGCGTATATGTATATATGTATATATATATATATCTACCTATGCATAGATATGCATATAAGTTATAAGCGTTATAAGTCCATTGAGATGATGTATTGTTAAAAAAAATTTCAGAGGCACCAGATGACCTACGCAGAATTTAATTTTTTTATTTGGTTACATTTAGTGAGGATAATAATTGAAGTTTCATCACATTTGTTTGTTAGTATTATTGGTGTAAATGATGTTGTTGTTGTTTGTTGTGTTGTTGTTTGTTGTGTTGTTGTTTGTTGTGTTGTTGTTGTTTGTTGTGTTGTTGTTTGTTGTGTTGTTGTTGTTGTTGTCTGTTGTTGTTAATGTTTGTTGTGTTGTGTTGTTGTTTGTTGTGACGTTGCCGTTGTTGTTGTTGTTCTCAGTTATCTCGATGTTAATAATAAATTATTATATTTGCTATATTTTGTTATTATTGTCTGTTATATTCAGAACTATTCAAATTAATAACTTTGGTAACAAATAAACACGGAACGGAACGAAACGTTGTTAAGCGACAAAAATTTCATTGGAAATAAAAATTACAGAGCCGACCAAAGTATAATTTTTGAAAATTTGACGAGTCTGATAACCCGTAAACAACGACAACAACAACAACAACAACAACAACAACAATAACAGCACAACAAACAATAAGACAATTTATAAAGTGTTTGTCCAGTATGATAATTTTCAGAGTAGCCATCAAACGTTGCCATTAAAATGAGCTTCAAACAGCGCCGTAATGACAACAGTTTCAGTGTAGCTAACAATTTTTCTAGGCACAAAAACAAAAGCATTGAAGATAATAATAATAATAGTAATAATAAAAATAATAATGATAATAATAATAATGATAATATTGATAATGATAATAATATTTACAATAATAATTGTGACGTAAATGTTCTTGACAAATTTGCCACCAACTACGACATTCCTGAGGTCGTCATCAACAGAATATTTTTCTCATCACCTTCGTCACCATTTTCGAAAACGCTATCCCTGCCCTCGTCACCATCGCTACGTTTATCACCATCGTCGAATTCATCACCATCGCCACGTCTTTCACCATCATCCTCTCCTTCGTTCTCACCAAAATCGGATTATGGTAATCCAACTCGGGCTCCTACTTCCACCAACTCAAACACACTGCCAACCATTCCGGCCACACCATCTCCACTGAAAAAAATAGCCAAACGTTCGGCAACCAAACTGGCGACACAGTTCACCAAACCATCAAGGAAACTCTCCACGACCAAAAAATTGGCCAACGCCACGAAACGCCACACGAAACCTCTTGCATCTTCGTCGCCGGCTGCTGGCAGGCTGGTTTCCAAGTTGAAAATTATCATTCCGAAAATTAGAACCGGAAATCAACAACAAACAACAGCATCCAACTCGACAACAACTACAGCTACAACAAAATCTCCAGCAACATGCAACTTAACAGCAACAAAAGCATCATCATCAACAACAACAACAACAAAACGGAAAACATCAGTTGTCTCAAAAACTAATTCTGAAACTACAGCATCAACTTTGCCGACGACAACAACAACAAAATTATCCTTGCCATTACCAACATCATTAACATTATTACCGACAACAACATCATCATCATCATCTTTTTCAACAATTCCATTCAATCCATTAGAGACGGAACTTTTCAACGAGGATGAAAGCAAACCGATTAATTTGTCAATAAAATCTTCACAAAATGACGTCACCCTAAATTACGAAAATATCAGAAGATGTCAAAATTTAAAATACGGACCAACGACAACGACTGCTATGGCTTCAACTACTACAACAAATACTACAATCAGTTTCACTGAAACCTCTGCCGTTATTACCAAGACTGAAACCACCTTTTCAGCCAAAACATTAAACACATCAACAACAATGACAACAACTTCAACATCAACAGCAGCAGCAGCAGCTGAAGAAGCAGCAACAACAACAACAGCAAAAAGAGATACCCACGGCTTGACTCTTCCTAATTTAATTGCAATAGATGACGGAAAAGAGAACCACAATACTAATTTTATTGACGCCAACAACGTTTATAACAACAACTTCAACACAAACATCAACAACAGCAACAACATCAACATAGCATTGTCTAACAAACGTATCTTCACGCTTAACAATATCACCAGCGAACATGAAAAGCAACTAAGCGATGTTGAAAAGGATTCATTTGACACAATTAAAGGTACCAAATACTTTATTAGTCACATGGATATCAACAACATTAACAACTACTACAACATTAACAACAACAACAGCAACAACAACCACAACAACAACCACAATAACATCGATAACAACGAGAGTAGTTACATATCTAACAACGAAATCTCTGCAGAGAATAATTTAATCATGATCCGCAATGACATCAACGATAACATCATAATTGATGACAACGTCAAGAAATACAACAGCAAAAACTTTCTTGGCGATAATATAGTCGGTGACATCATCAAAAAAGACATCAAAAACAACAACGTATACACCAGTAACATCAACATAGACATCAGCAACAGCAACATAGATATCGATTACAACAACAACAACAATAGACACATCAATAACAACAACAACAACAATAACAACAACATCCTACCATATTTTTCTGATATGACCTCTCTAAATCTTGAACTAACTGACGAAGGTTAGATTAATCGTTAATCATTATATTATCGTCATTATTATTATTATCCTTATTTGTTATGTTATTATAAATATTATTTATATCAATATTCCTTCAATTACAACAGTTTTTTTACTAAAATACATTGATGAAAATATTATCGAACAAATTTTTTGCATTGGAATTCAATGATTGAAGTTGTTATAAATTCAAATTTTTAACAGGTTAGATGCCTTCATTCTTAGCATCGTGTCTTGTAGTCATTTTGTATGTGTGCGTGTGTTGATGTGTGTTTTGTTATATGTATGTGTGTTTTGTTATATGTATGTGTGTATATATGTATGTGTGTATATATGTATGTGTTTATGAAGGTATTGTTGTATGTGTTTATGAAGGTGTTTTGTGTATGTGTGTGTGTTGTTTTATCTTTATGCATGGATTGTATGTTAGTTTGTTGATGTTATTGTGTGTATGAGTGTATGTGTTTATGAAGGTGTTGTGTATGTGTTTATGAAGGTGTTGTTGTTGTGTGTATATGTGTTGTTGTATCTTTATGCATTGATTGTATGTTAGTTTGTTGATGTTGTTGTGTGTATGAGTGTATGTATTTGTGTGTATTTGTTGTTAATATGTATGTAATTGTTGATGTGTATGTAGTTGTTGTTATGTATGTGTGATTGTTTGATAAATATGTGTGATTACTGATGTGTATTTATGATTGGTTTATGTGTATGTATGATTGGTTGATGTGTATGTGTGATTGTTGATGTGTATGTGTGATTGGTTGTTGTGTATGTGTGATTGGTTGATGTGTATGTGTGATTGTTGATGTGTATGTATGATTGGTTGTTGTGTATGTGTGATTGTTGTTGTGTATGTGATTATAGATGTGTATGTGATTGTTGTAACTTGTCGTTTATCACAGCATTATTAGGTGACCCAGCATCAAAAACAAAATCACCAAAAATGTCACCATCAGGTGGACAACCACAACTTCATCAACAAAAACAACAACAACAACAACATCTTCTACAACAACAACAACAACAACAACAACTTCTACAACAACAACAACAACAACAACTTCTACAACAACAACAACAACAACTTCTACAACAACAACAACAGTCACCTATGTTTTCACCATCATCGCCGTCATTCTTACTGACCTCATCAACATCAACATTATCAGCGTCTCCAACGTCCCCATCATCACTTCCGTCATCATCGTCGTCACCACCAGCGTCGTTGTCGTCATCATCATTCCAGCATCCAGCTTCATCATCATTGCCATCATCATCGTCGTCGTCGTTATCATCATCATCACAGTTGAAAAGAAAACTTCCGCCGTACAGATCACGATCCGCCGATATTCTGGAATCGTATAACCGACAATTGCCAAACCGCCTGCTCACATCCCTGCTTGCCATCCCCTTCTATCCCAACAATTCCATCTCAAATTACAACGCGCCAAATGTTACCGACTACGTCAGAATTGACGATTGTGAGAATGATGATGATGATGATGATAACAATGTCAGATTAAAATTTATTAAGCTTGAAAAAAATGATGACGATAGTTGCTTGGGTCAGAATAATTTGGTGATCGATATATCGCCAGATGCAACATACCGACCCAAACTGAGAAACGAGGCAAGTTTTATCGATTTAACGGATAATATCAGTAACAATGACAGTTTGAATTTGAACGGAAATGGTTCGGAAGATAATGAGACCATGGCCAAAAAAGGGGATCTCAACGACAACGATGACGTCATCGACGTTTGTGAAATCGTCAGTGGTGGCAGCTCAAGCGTCAAAGTTATGGACATCCTCAATGGAAGAGTGAACAGTGTTTTCAACAAAGATGGCATTGATATCTGTGAAGCTAACAATAACAACAACAACAACAACAACAATAACAACAACAATGGGAAAGCCACTACAAGTTGCACCACCGAAAGAAGCAGCAGCAGTAACTTCAAAGAGAGCGGTCGAAAAAGAAAAATTGAAACAACTTGCAACGATACAACAACGACAACAGGAACAACATCAATTACATTAATTGCATCACCAACAACAGCACCAACCGCAACATCAAATTCGGCCTCTTGCGTGCAGATCAGCAAATCCAACTGCGTCAACAGCATGGATACTTTTAACCAAAAAAAATTCAAAACAGAATTCCACGAAAAAAACAACAAAACAGTTAGATGCAACAACGTCAACAACGACGACCACATTTCACTGCTCAGTCCTCGTCTGTCACAACAGAGGAAGGCTCTGATGTTGTCCTCTGGTCAAATAACCTACCAACAAGACTATCATTCGGAACAACAACATCCAGAATTACAACAGGACAAACAACAACAACAACATGATCAACAGCAACATATACAACAAAGAAAACAACATCATCAACAAAATAAACAACAACAGCTATATGCGCAAACAGAAAAACCACATAACAAACAACAACAGCAACCTCAACAAAAACTACAACACTATCAACATTCACCTAAACAGAGCCCCCATTCAAATCGTTGCCTTCCTCAGCCATCCCACTTGCCGACAGATGTTGAATATTCATGTCTCCAATGCTGCAGCGACAACCAACAAAACACCATTCCAACAAAATCTCCAGCAAATTCACAGATCAGTACAAAAACTGGTATCGGCGGTGTTCCATTTCACGAAGCAATCAGATCACCTTCACTGTCAATCCCATCATCCAGAACATTCCCATTCCCGTCCCACTGCCTAATGCCGCCAAATAACATTAACATCATAGATGCTGAAACAATTTATTCTAGACAAATTAAATTCCAAGGAAACGATTTTTATCTAAAATATCCCCCCGGCAACCAGAATGAGCGTTCGAATGGATCCTCCAAAATTTTATCGAAGCGATCTTTTTCACCGAACTCGGTTGACTTTGAAACGTTCACAGCCAACCTTAAAAAAACGTGTCTGGAAAAAATTAACATCAGCAGTAGACGCAAAAACATCGTTGTCAGTAGCAACAGTTGCCCTTCAAATAATTTTATTATTCCAACAAAACGTATTCCTGAGCAGCATCACTCCCAACACAATCCAGGACACTATGTCAATCCCATTCCTACAATGATTCCAATGGGAGGATATCCTGTCAGAGACAGTCAACTCGCCCATCCCGCCATGCTTCAGTATGACATGCAGCATCAACAGCAGCAGCAACAACAACAGTTCTTATTATATCAACAACAACAACAAATGTTATTACAACAACAACACCAACATCATCAACAACTACAACAACACCGAAACATTTTTCCAAGCAACAATTTCAGCAGCAGCAACAACAGCCTACCGAAAAAGAAAATGAAATCATACGGCGTATTCAATCAACCTATTCCTAATTTACCTCCATATCTGGATATTTCAAGAAGTCAACATTTTCATCTAAAAAATTTTCCTCCTGCTTTTCCCTTTCCCTCGCAAATTGACGACCCGCAAACTTTTTACAAGATGCAAGCGTCTTATTCGCCATCGTTGTTTATCAACAGGGTAGAAAACTCGTCATGCCGGACAGATGTGAACCATCCCCAACAGAACCAAGCTCCACCCAATTGCAGCAAAGAGTGCTCTCTTCCACTCGCGTGTCCTCCAGGTTGCGATAGCAAGTGTCTCCTGCCACACGGCGCATGTCCAGACAATAATCTTTTCAACCAGCTGCTTGCTAAAGATTTCAGAAATGGCGGGTCGGTGTATGTTTCCAACGGAAAAATTGTCGATTCTGTAAAAAATGTAGCTGCCCCGAGTGCCTTCACTGTTGCCGCTGATAAAAATCATCTCGTCAATAGAAACGTCAGCACTAGAACTAACCAAACCAACCACAAAACTAACAACAGCATCAACTTTCCTATCAACACCATCCACAACAACCCAAACGACATCATGAACGGCTGCTCTTATGAATCGGAGTCAGACAAATGTCTAGAATGCATCTCGCTAAAATGTGCTGGTTACAACAGCAGACTGAAGCAACATGACGCAGCTAAAATGTCCTCCATTCCGTTGTTGCATCATCGAGTTATACAACATCATCATCAACAACAGCAACAACAACAACAGCGTCAACAACATCAGCAGCAACCACAACTCGATCAGCACTTACAATACTTGCATCACATGGAACAAAGTCACTTTGCTGTAAGAGAACAAGCCAAACATACACCACATCTCAATTCAGCAAGACTCTCTAGAGCATCCAAATCACCGAAAACCATCTACAACAACAATTCCAACAGCAACAACCTCGGAAAATGTAGCAGCGTCGGTCAGAACAGTGCGACGAAGCTTTCCAACCGGTGCGAAATTGACGTGGAAACGGTGAAACAAATCATAAAAAAGGAAAGAGAGAACCAATTGGGCAGTAACAACCAAATTTTTCACGTGAACGAAAATAACTTTGCCAACAACAACAACAAAAATAATGTAACGCACAAAGATATCAAAGCAGCACCAAAGACTAATAATTACACACAAGAAGGAAACAGTAGCAGCAACAACAACAGTAACAACAACAACAATTCTGACAACAAATACAATGACCACAACAACCCAAATTGCAACGAAAACTACGGCAAACTTCCTCATTCGACATCTCATGAAAACCACAAACCAGAAGTTGTTGAACATCAAACAGTGCCGTCACAAACTCAGCCTGGCAATCATGTATGCGAGGCTTGTGGCAAACCCGCTCAGTTCGTCTGCTCCGCTTGTAGGACCGTCCCCTACTGCAGCTTCCAGTGCCAGGTTAACATAAATTAACATAATTTAACATAATTTATTTCATTCATCTCTTTTATACATGTATTTGTGTATTATAATTATATATGATTATTTTATTTATTTATTCATTTCTATATTGATTTGTTATCTATTTAAATGATTTTTTATATTTGCTCACGGAGTTAACTTTTTTTAACTATTATTACCGATTACTACCTTGTTGAAAGAGTGAAGGAGTGAGTGATGAGTGAGGTAGTGAATAAATAAATAAATGGATGAATGAACGAAAGAATGAACAAACAAACGATCGAACGAAAGAATGAACGAATGAATGCATGAATGAATGAAGGAATGAATAATGGAAAGAAAAAAGAAGAGATTTAACGAATAAATGAAGGATATACAAATTATTTAGAAAAATGAACAAATTATTTTTAATAATAAAAATTTATTAATGAACAATTTGAGGCAAAAATAATTATTCCTAAAAATAAGACCGACAAAAATAATAATCGAACATAACTAGCAATAATAATAGCTAACAAAAACTAGAAAAGAACAACAACAACAACAGTAATAACATCAACAACAGCAACAGCAGCAGCAACAACAGTAACAACAACAATAACAACAACAATTAATTATCAATTAATGAAGTTCCGAATAAATGACTCCCAAGCCACTAACAAGAAAAATTAAAAAGTGAAGCAGACAGAATTTAATTGTGAAATTACTCATATTAATAAATAAATATATAAATGTGTGGCGTGTGTGTGTGTGTAAATATTAATCAATTAAAATTATATAGATTAATTTATTATCTATCCAAGTATCTAATATTGATATTTTTAAAGATATAGCGAGATTTTTCAAGTCATTCGCTCCTAGTCTGAAATATTTTTTTGTTGTTGTTTCAACGTATATGTATTTATAAAATATTCACTTCCCTAATAACTTTAGTCATGAGAATCGTTCAATTCTAGCATTAAGTAATATTATTATACTTCATGTTAACGACATAACAGTGTTGTTATAATTGTAAGAAGCAGCAGCAGTAGTAGTTGTTGTTGTTATAGTAGTCAGGGTAGTAATAGAGAGGCAGTAGCAGTTGTAGCAGTATCAGAAAAACAGTAAAGTTTTTGGTTGAGTTGTTTTTAATTCATTGCAAACGTTTCTAAAACAAAATAATGAAAGGTTACATAGTGTAGTGTAGAGGGGAAGAATTAATATTTTAAGAAAGCTGGATATGACGGTGATGGATGCAACGGTGAAAGATGGATGTAGCAGTGCAAAAATAATTTTGATAGAAGTGTGAAATTGTAGGCCACTATTTATTTACTTGAATTACAATGAAATATTCGCCTGACGCTTTTATTTCAAATTTTTTCGTTTAGTTTATTTTCACACAATTGAAATTCACGCGGTGCAATGTAGCATGTCAGACACAAAAATAGCCTTTTGTTCTCAATCGGTCAATAAGATAATGTGTGAATAGAAAAAAATTTAATGTGTTTGTATGTTTGTGTGTGCGCGTGTGTGCGTGTTTGTGTGCGTATGTGTGTGTGTGTGTGTGTGTGTGTATTATTTGCACACACATACACGTGTCAGTGGCTGATCTGGACAACGTTGACAGCTGATTTAAAATTATCTTGAAAGCATTCTTTGAAATTTATGAAAATTTCAAACTGCAAATTTGGTTACGGCTTTTTCTCGTCATAGGTATTGAGAAATTTCTCAAACGACATGAGTTAGCATTAAAGTTGCTAATTATAAACGTTCTGAGTAATTAAGCAGACCATCAACTTTTTCTACCCACTCGATGAAATTCCCTGTAAAAACATTTTCTTCTGCTCATTTTTAAACGCAAACTACATTATTAACCCCATGCATTGTCCATCTATCTTATCTATCTATCTATCTATCTATCTATCTATCTATCTATCTATCTATCTATCTATCTATCTATCTATCTATCTATCTATCTAGCTCTATTTCTGTCCTCATTTTCTTCTGAACTCCAGCCCAACATAATATGATTCCTGTCATCATCTTTTCTTCATCAACTCGCGTTCCTTCTCTAATGCAGTATTCACGTCTTTGGTTTAATGTACCATATACATGTATGTACATAAGTTATATGTATATTTATATATAGTTATATATATATTCTCCTACGTGTTGTTTTTCTCTGCAAAAAACACACATTTGTTTCTGTCGATCTCACTCGTCCATTCGTCCATTCATTCATCCATTCCCTCATCTATTCATTTATTTATTCGTCCGTTTAATGAATAAATTGTTTAACCATTCATTAATTTGTGCCGTTTGTGTTGGTGTATGTGTGTGTGTGTGTGCGTGCGTGCGTTTGTGTATGTGCGTGTGTGTGCGTGTCTTTTTGCTCGCTGGACCATGAAGTTAATTTTCTTTTCATTAAATTCTCTTACAACTGCTTACATGTGTGAATTGTGCGAGGTAAATAAATGAAGGCCATCATTAATCACATGATCGCCTGCTTGTTTTAACTCTTTTAAACTAATTTTTTCCGAGTCACGCTCCTTTCTCTTTCCTACTTCTTCCACCTTATTCCATTTTCCATGCCGTTTTTTTATTTTTTAGCCCTTTCATTTTATTTTTTTTTCATTTGTTTTTCCGGATGTATCTTCTTTCTTACACTACCTCTATAGTAGAAGTATTTGTTTTTTTTATCTATGATTAATTTATCCGTCAATGTTTATTTAGTTTTTACATATTTTTGATTTTTAATGAATAAGTTTATTATTATAATAATTATCATTATTTGTTTATTTATTTAGTTAGTTAGTTAGTCTATTTTAATTTTAAAGGTCTTAGACACTCTTCCAAAGTTTTGAGAAATGAGCGTCACATAAATTAGCTTATATGAAGGTGTGCTGAACGAAGCATCACACCATGTAATAGCCGGGGATCCTTTTGTCGTATTTGAACCCAGTCATTGCGAAACAAGATCACGCGACTTTAACCACTAGGCCATCTGTCCAGCCGAGCATAGAATTCTGCAAATTCAAATATGCATTCTATTATTTATTCATTTCTGTCTTTTTTTTCTTCTTTCTTTCTATCTAAATATTTTTCGCTTTTATCATTTATTAATTATTCGTTTTCTCAATTTTCATCTATATGCTTAGTTATAATCCATTCGTTCACTTATTAATTCATTTATTTATTCATTCAAACACACATACATTCATTCATCTATTCATTTATCCATCCATCCATCCATCCATCCATCCATCCATTCACTCATTCATTCATCTATCCTTTCCAACATCCAGGCCTCATCGTGGGTAGATCGCCACAGTCTCACGTGCAAAAAACTGGAATAATAATAATAATACTAACGTATTATTATTAATTTTATCAATATCCTTGTCGTTGCAATTGTTATCATCTTAACTGATGATAACAATGATGATGAAGATGATGATGACGATAATACTTATGATGATGATGATGATGAAGAGGAGGAGGAGAATGATGGTGATGAGGATGATGATAATAATGATGACGATGATTGTGAACAACACGTTAAGCAATGTTTTTCTATTTGGAGTTTTATGCGTAGCTGAACTTATTTAATTAGTTTGTAAAAAAGATTATTTAAAACTATTATTGCGAATTATTATTATTATTTTTTTCATTATTATTAATGTTATTATTATTATTATTACCTAATTATTTTTTTGTTTATTTTGTTACGACCTTTTTCAAATAAATTCTGCTGTCCTAGATTCAGTTGTTTATCAATTTTGGAAATATAATTACTAACAAATAAGTGATATAAAAACGTATTATCGTTCATCGATTGTTAAATATTGTACTCAAATATTAATATTTAATTGTTTGTTAAATATTTAAAAAAACACACAAATAAAGAAAAATGTGTGTGTGCGCGCGTGTGCGCGCGTGTATTATGTATGTGTTTATATTTATGAAGCTTTCTTTAACATTTTTGTTGAAACAGTATGTATGTGAGTGTATGTGTCTGGGAATGTTTGTGCGTGTGTTTGTGTGTGTCTGTGTATAGTTATTTTTATATTTCTATGTTGTATAAATTGTTTCGAAAGAACATTTAAGCAAAACGCAAACGGAGATGAAAATCCTCCGAAATGATGACATTGGTCATTTCAACGCTAACACTCCTAACTCGCGAAATGAAATGAAATAAATTCTCCGAACTGCACAGCGCACATGGCGTTTTTAAATTGAAATCATTGATTTATTTACTTACCAATTTACCTTCGTCGATACTTTAGCTGAAGTTGTTGGGACGCATAGCCACGCATGTTTTTATATTTACACACGTGCATACATACTTGTACACGTACAAACATGCACACACACATATATATACACATGCACACACCTGCACACGTACGTACATGTTCGCACGATTAAAACGCAGTCCCGTACGATGAATAATTACACTGGGCAACAAAAAAAATAATTTTTTTTGCATCTTTAACTTCTTTAGTCAAATTATACTAATTTTGGGGTGAGAAAAACAAAAATGCAAACGAAATTTTTTTATTAGCTCTAGTTTCTGAGATATACAACAACAAAAAATTTTTGTTTTCGTTTATTCGCAACACAGCAATATGACATATAATTCACTTATTTTAATAATATTTAAAGTGCATTTAGTTTTTTTCAATAAAGATTACATTCTAACAGTTTAAAACAATAAAAGCTAATAAATATAAAGATCATTATGGAATATCTTCACGCGATCGTGCTCTTTTTGCTTTCCGCCAGTATGCGAGCTATGGAGCATCCCTTCTTATAAACCAACAGTAATCTGCAAGCATAGCTTCATTCCAACGACCCTGATATCTTTTTTCAGACCCAGAAATATCTTGGTGGAATCTTTCTCCATGTTCATCACTAACAGCTCCACAACTAGGGGGAAAGAAGTCTAAATGTGAGTGGAGGAAGTGAATCTTCAAGGACATGTTACAACCAAGTTGATGGTATTTTTGCAGAAGTACTGTTACCAATTGGATGTAGTTATCATCTCTTCTGTTGCCTAAAAATCCACAAATCACTCCCTTGAGAGATTCCCAAGCTTCTTTTTCTTGCCCCTTCAAAACTTCATCAAATGCAGGATCTTTCACAAGTTCACGTATCTGTGGTCCAACAAAAATACCCTCTTTAACTTTTGCATCACTTAGTTTTGGAAATTTGTTTCTTAAATACTTAAAAGCTTGTTCTTCTTTGTTCATACTTTTGACAAAATTTTTCATTAAACCCAGCTTAATGTGTAAGGGTGGAAGAAGTACATCTTTTGGATCTATGAGTGGTTCAGCAACAACCTTTTTTTCATCTTTGTTTAGATTTCTTGCAGGCCAGTCTTTTTTTGTGTAATGTGAAATTTTGTCTCTACTGTCCCACATACACAAGAAACAGCAGTATTTGGTATAGCCTAATTGCATTCCCAAAAGTATGGCAATGACTTTTAGGTCACCACAAATTTTCCATTTGTGTTCGTTGTAATTGATTGAGTTAAGAAGAATTTTCATATTTCGATAGGTTTCTTTTTTGTGAGCTGCATGGCCAATAGGAACTGATGGAAGATGATTTCCATTGTGCAGTAAGACAGCTTTCAAGCTTAGCTTTGATGAATCTATGAATAATCTCCATTCAGTTGGATCATAGTTCAAATTGAGACAATACATTAATCCATAGATATCAACGCAAACAACGAGGCTATTTTTCTTCTCAAAAAAACGAACAAGATTTTGTTGCCGTTTCCTGAAATAGGAAACTTTGACATCAGATTGGAGAAGATTCCACTGTTTTAATCTAGACCCTAGAAGTTCTGCCTTTTCCTGTGACAAGTCAAGATCTCGAACGAGGTCACTTAATTCTGCTTGACTCAATCTGTGTGGTGCATTATCTGTTGACACAAAATCAGAATCATTTGATGTGGAAGGCTGGCTTTCTTTTTCTTCTTCTATTTCATTTGTGCCTTCATTTTCTGCTTCTATCTCATAGCTCTGTGATGGAGTAGGAACTGGTAAACTGTCTGAATGTGGAATAGGTCGAATGGCTGATGGAAGATTCGGATAGTTAACTGTTCCTAATTTTTTCATAGACAGACCTGCCTTAACATATGGGGTCAAGCAGAAATAACAGTCATCTGTATGGTTTTTAGGTTCCCTCCAAGCCATAGGAACAGCAAAAGCCAAAAATCTTTTATTTTTTAACCATTCCCGCAGTGTAACCGAACAAGTGTTACAGCATATATGTGGAGCCCATGATTTATCTTGGTCTCCTACCTTCATACCGCTGGTAAGCAGTTTTCACAATAGGTGTCATAGTTGTTTTTCGTGATGAAAATGTTATTTCACCACAAATGTAACAAAAATTGTCCACTGAATTTACACACTTCCTTGGCATGTTAATTTTTTAAATTTTACAAAAATTAATCAAAAATAATCAAAAAGTGAATCGGATAAGAAACTTTAGCAAACACTCATAAATCATATCAAAAGTTTTAAACATAAATAAATCATTATGGCAAGCCAAGAGGCAAGATAAAAAAAATAAAAAATTTTTTCCAAAAAACAGAAATTTATACTCTTGAGGATAGAGTTTTGCTCATATCTTTTGAACTAGAGCTAATATGTAATTTTTAATGTCATTTTCGGATTCAGCAGGTGGAAATACATAAGAAACAGCTAATTTTGGTTAAGATGCAAAAACACTGTTGGGCAGTGTTATCTCACTCACTTACCTACATACCACGTAAATATCGATTCGGGCGTAGAATCGATATTTACGTGGAATCGATATTTATATCGATATTTATATGAACAGAGAGAACAGACAAGCGCACACGCACACATAAACACACACACAAACACACACATACATACATGTGTGTGTGTTTATATATAAAAGTACACACATTTATAATCCCACACATTTATTGCGCCAACACAGACGCAAACAGAACGAATAAAAACACATGTAACAAAATTGTTTACATTTACTTTAAAATTCGTGGTTTCTAAACGCAAGTTGCTGATAATTATGTTATTTATTATCATCAGTGTCATTGTAGTCATCAAATCGAGGTTAATACGTCATCTTCATCTTCATCATCATCTTCATATACAACATAAACATCATTATCTTCAACTTCATCATCATTACATAAAACACACACATCATCATCAACTTCATCTTCGTCATCCTCATATATAACATACACATCATCTTCATCTTCATCGTCATCACATACAACATACACATCGTCATCTTCATTGTCATCACATACAACATAAACATCATCTTCATCGTCATCACATACAACATACACATCATCATCATCTTCATCATCAATACACAATACATACAACATACACATTATCTTCATCTTCATCATCATTACATACAACATAAACATCATCTTCTTCATCTTCATCATCACAGACAATGTAACATACACATCACAAATGATCCTGTCACCATCATTCATCTATTGGGCTGTCAGAATTTATCTTTAATTTTCCTGAACACTTCTTGTAAGCAAGCGACACAAACATGCATCTGATTATACACGTTCAAACACAGATCATGAAAACGTACAAACAAATACACGCACGCACACGCAAGCAAACACACACAGACGCATGCATTTAATAATAAGTTTTTTTTATCACATATGTAGGATGATCAATATTTTAAGATTTTAAACATTACAAATTAAAGTCAAATTTAAATAGAAAATATAACAACAACAATAATAATAATAATAATAGAAAAATAAAAATAATAAAAAGGCAGGGAGTGAACGAGCGTGTTGACAAACAATTCGAAGAAAGATGAAGGATGAGATCCTATTTGAAATGCTGAAGTTTCCAAGAAATTATTAATGCGTTATTTTTTGCTGTTATTATTACTATTACTGGTGTTGTTTTTGTTGTTGCTATTATTATTATTATTATTTTAATTACTATTAGTATTGTGAGTATTATTATTAATCTTTTCTTTACATTTTGACTGTCAATAATGTGAATTTTGTAATAATAGTACCAATAGTAGTAGTAGTAGTAGTAGTAGTAGTAGTAGTAGTAGTAGTAGTAGTAGTAGTAGTAGTAGTAGTAGTAGTAGTAGTAGTAGTAGTAGTAGTAGTAGTAGTAGTAGTAGTAGTAGTAGCCTTAATTGAAGAAGCGGAAGTATCGGTGAGATTTTAGCTGTGGTAGTAATAATCGGCGCACATTCTCAAAATGAACATTTCATTATTTTTTTTCTAAGAAAGTTATTAGGCTTTCGCTTGAAATATCGTTTATATCAATCTCAATTTAAAGTAACAAAAACACACACAAACACACAGTCACACACACAATCACACACACACACGCACACACAAACATACATACATATACACACGTACAAACACAGATATAGGCATACAAACGTACATAGTAAAAAAAATTATTTACTTCTATTTAATGCTATACGTACCTACGAAAGCGGGTGGGTAGTCCATGTAAAAAATTATTTATGTATAAAAAAAATAAATCAATGAAAAAAAAGCATAAATACGGCATGGACGGATGAAATTGATATCATCATCATCATCTTCGTCGTCGTCGTCATCGCCATCATGAATCTTGATCTAAATTTCAACTTTTACCATTAAAATAACTTAAGAATAGGAATAATAATAATAATTATTATTATTATAACTATTATTATTATTATAATTATAACAAAAAAAATAATAATGATGTTATAATTACTAATTCCAACAACAATTATCATTTTTTTGCAACCAAATATAGTCGTTATTATGCTATTATTACCATTAATATCGCTACTACCAATATTATTATTATGATTATTATTATATTTATTACCGTCATTATTATGATTAGTATTATCACTAATCAATAGTAAGTATTATTAATAGTATTATCAATAACATTGTTATAATCTTTATTATTATCTTTATTATTATCTTTATTATTATTGTTGTTGTTGTTGATTATAATTGTCATCGTCAATTTCGTTTTCATTTAAAAGTGTCGTACGAGCTATCAATGTCAGGAGTTCAACGACTGACAACTCACTCAGCTGTAGTAGTAAAATGGCTTTGAATGTGAAGAAACACGTACGTGAAAAAGAACTTTTTACAATAAAACTTGATAACCTTTTCCTGATACAAATCAGAGTTGTTATTAACCTACGGTTGAAAGTTAAAAAGTGCAAGGCAGAACGGGGTGCCACCAATAAGAAGATTTTCTACCCCTTCTCCACCCCTGGTCACAAGGTGTCACACATCTTTGACCTCACAGATGAAAACGTGAGGTCAAAGATGCACAGTCCATAGCTATTATTATTATTATTGATGTTGTTGACGTTAGCAATACTATTACTAATGCAATTATGTTAGACGAAATGCAACGGCAGACATGAGAAGACAATTTGTAAATCAATTTTTATTCAAAATTAAATCATTTCACGGTCGTTCATAATCTGTAAAAAACAAACAAATATATAAAGAAATAAATTATCATTTAGTTAATTAATTAATTAATTAATTAATCATACATTACATACAAATGAATAAGAAACACATAGACACAAGCCTCAATAGTGATCACGAGGCTGAAAAAATAATTGGCAACAAACAGAAATGAATTAAAAAGATGAAGAGGAGCGCAAGAATGACCTTTCTAAGAATTCGACGGCTTACTAGAACGATGAACTCATACAAAAAAAATGGAAAACATACAAGGAATACAGACCAAAATACAAACCAAAACACAAATATATAAAGAATACAAACTAAAATACAAACATATAAAGAATACAATCCTAAAATACAAACATAAATTACAAACTTGTACAAAGAATACAAACATAAAACACAAACATACAGACAGACATTAAATACAAACACAAACATTAAATAATAAAAATACAAACATACAATTACCGAAAATACAACAAAAAAACACATACACACACGGAATACAGATAAAATAAAATAATGCAAAACAAACCCATTACACAAACATAGATACAAATAGAATGAAACAATACAAAAAATTACGTAACGAAAACATAAAAACAAGCGCAATACAACGCAATTACAGGATAAATAAAATACTTCGCATACATGATTTCAAACTGGTAAAAAAAAAGAAACCCACGAAGCATACGACCAGCCCACACACACACATACACCCACACACACGCACACAGACACACCCACGCACCACAAACAAACTAACACACAATTCAATATCAAATTTTTCTGGATTTGTTAACACAAAAACATACAAAATAGTCACTCTCATTTTGTCCCGTAGTTAAAAATACAAATCCTTTGAAATCAGTGAATCATTTGAGCTTGAGTGTAACGCACAACGCATACACGCACGCACGCACACACACACATACGCACACAGACATACACACTCACTCACTCACTCACACACTTAACACCCTCACATACACACAAAACAAAACAATTGAATTCAACCGAACATAATAAAATAAATAAATACAGAAACCAATAAACGAATGAAAAGTAAATGATTCAGAATGTTTAAGAAAACCAACAGCAAGAGAAAAATTCATATACGACAGATGGACTGGGCGAATATGAGGTATAAAGAATAAAAGTGAGAGAGCGATATGAGGAGAGAGAGAGATTAGACGAAAAGAGAGAGAGAGAGAAGAAGAAGAATGAGAAGTAATTATATTATATGGGACACCCCCACACTAATAAATTACGTAAAAATTATTAGCCAGATATTTAACGTTATTAAATGTTAATAATAATAATAATAATAATAATAATAATAATAACAATAATAATAATAATAATAACAATAATAATAATAATAATGCGAATCGTAAAAAAAAAAATAAAAATAAATTTCATCGCCAATAATAACAAACATGGCAATTACAGCAGGTGGAAAATAATAATAATGATAATAATAATAATAATAATAAAATAATAATAATAAAAAGAACAGTTAAGCAATTATCACCGATAATCACCTTTGTCTTCTCCATCGGGTTACCAAGAAAAATTAAGCTCTTTAAATCTCGCTGTCAATTATTCACCAACGCACTGACGTAGATACATAACATATGGACACATAAACAGAGAACTAAACAAGCAAACACACACACAAACACAAACAAACACACAGACAAACAAACAGACACATGAACAGACAAGCAAACACACACACACAGACACATGAACAGACAAAACAAACATGTATCAGGATTATAATATTAGCAATAATAATAATAACAATAATCATAATAAAGAACAAAGAACAAGAAAAATTACAGATAAAAAACGGATTTAGAGAATTGAACATAATTTGCCAGATGAAAATAAAACAAAATTTATAAAAAAAAAGAAAATAAATAAATAAATAAAATAATAATAAAAATAAAAAAAATTATTCCGGGGCCTCTTTGTGTTTGCCCCAGGCGTGGAAACACCTGGTAAAGTTTGGCTTCTCCATGTACTTAAGAGCCAGGAGAAGTTTGCGTGGCTGGTCAGACTGCTTGTTTCGCATGTGCTGGATGTACACCTGAGTGAGTGAGTGAGGGAAAATGAATTAATGAATGATAAACGGATAGATAAAAGTTGGATAAATAATTAGATTTTGATTTAATATATAAAAAAAAACCGACCAACCTACCAACCAGCCGACCGATTAATCAACCAACCAACCGATTAATCAACCAACTAATCAACCAACCAACCAGCCAACCAACCAACCAACCAGCAAATTAACCAATCAATCAACCAACCAGCCAACATACCAGCAAATTAACCATTCAATCAACCAACCAGCCAACCAAACAACCTGAGCACTTTTGAAGGCCAGCTTGATTTCCACGTCACTCGTCTTCCTGCCAACCCAGAGAAACACCTGCTCTCCATTGTCCAGTATCATCACATCTTCATCGGCCAGATCATCCTGACGTCATTTTTTATATGAACGAATGAATCATCATCATTATCGTCGTTTTCTGTGCCAAATCACACGGCTCATTACACACACTGAGGACAGACAAACAGACAGACAGACAAACAGACAGACAGACAAACAGACAGACAGACAAACAGACAGACAGATAAACAGACAGGCAGACGTAGACACAAACCTGGCAGAAATCAGAGCACTTTTCAGATACAGAGAAGTAGCCCTTCTCATTAGAGCACCTGAAGAGACGGGCGTATTGCATGTAATCAGCGTCCTGTTTACAATTCAGTTGAACGAAACAGTTATAATCATTAGATAGTATTCTATCTATCTATCTATCTATCTATCTATCTATCTATCTATCTATCTATCTATCTATCTATCTATCTATCTATCTATCTATCTATCTATCTATCTATCTATCTATCTATCTATCTATCTAACCTAGTTTAAAATTAACCATTTGCATTCATTCATATTTTCCTTTATCAACGCATAGATCCATCTATTTATTCATCCCTCCATTCTAAATCCATCCACTCCGTCAATCATTCATTCATTCACACATCTTTCAACCCATCCATTCATTCGTCCGTCTATCTATCCATGCATGCACTAACCGTTTCGTACTTCTTCCTTCCACCTATCCCAATCCAGAAGAAGTTATCCGGTTCCTCTCCTTCATTCAGGATTTGGATGCTGTGTGTCGACTGTTTGTTTGTTTGTTTAGTGGTTTGGTGAATGAATGAATGAATAGACAAATGATCAAATATTTAATTACTGTTGATTAAAAAGCTTGACAAAAGACTGGTCGTCCCAAATGACATGATACAGGGAGAGAAAGAGAGAAAGAGAGAGAGAGAGGAGAGAGAGAGAGAAACAAATTGATGAATGAATGAATCATAGAATATTTGTGGTAGATAAGAACACAAAAATAAATGAATAAGCAGAAATACATGAAACGCACTGATAAGATAAAACGAGTAAATGGCTAAACAAACGACCAACCAAACGACTTACATAAGTAGGCCAATGAAAAAGAAGAACAAAACAAACAAATGAACGAACGAACGAACAAACGAACCAAACACACCAACCCCAAAAATAGATTCAGCCATATCCTCCGCACTCTTGGCGTCTTCATGGCTAGCCCTCTTACCGATCCACACGTACACGATACCCTGCTGATCGTCACTGTTGAACGGAACTTTCAACAGGTAACTGTGGTATTACAAAACGGTAATTAATTACGGTATTTGATTATTTGTAATGATCGCGGTATGGTATTTATAGTAAGTAATCAAGAGTATCATGATAGAAGTGATAACGGAGCAACTCACACACACACATGCCAACTGGTGTGATGGTGCCAGCAGGCAAGTGTTGATAAAAATGGCGACAGAGATGTAGAGATGAGTATGATGATCATATTGGTGATGGTTATCACAAAAAAGTTATAACTATAATTATAATGATTACATCAACGATAATGATGATACTAACAACAAAATCATAATGATGATGTAGAGAACAAAAAAAATAATCATTCACTCATCAACTGACCAGAAGGCAGAATTCAAGTTGGAAGCAGTAGCTGGAATCTGAATGGAGGAAAGTGATGAATTAACTTTCACAACTCTGTCCATGAATCACCACGATGATCATCATCGCCGTTATTACCATCATAATGAAAATAACAAGAACAATAATAATCTCGAAAATAATACTACTGATAATAAAAAGGTTAAAAGGTTAAAATGAAAATAACCTGTATACATCTCAGGGTGAGCGGGCTACCATTGGCTCTCAGGTGGTACATGGTGACGGGCAGCTTACCGTTCTCGTCCAGCTGGGTTTGCTTGCGTTTGCCCTGGTGTATCATGAACTTGTACTTGAAGTGGGACAGGAGTTTTATGTTCTCCTGTTGCTGATTGTAAAAAAAAGGATAAGAGTCATTGCATGGCGTCGTTAGCTATTTGTTGGAATGGTCTGTAGTTATTGTAATCATGTAACATTGTTGTTGTTGTTGTTGGTATGTCACGTCGTAAAATTCATGCTGTTTTCATCAGTTGAATTAAAATTTGCCTCGAAACAGTGAAGTAAGCAACGTTACGGCCACGAAATAACATCATCAAAAGAGCACACAAAACATCAAAATGAACCTGGTGAGTCCTGACAACTTCCAGCTTGTCTCCAAAGAGCGCCTCAAACTTCTTCTGCAGGCTGAACGTAAAAGTGAGCCACCCCATGTTGCCAGCATCTCTTCCTTGCCAGAAATAAACGACACATTTGAAGTCATCCTCCAACTCCTCCTCATCCTCCTCTTCCTCCTCATTTATCGCGTCATCCTCATTTCCATTTGCTGCAGACTTCTTGGGATCGCCTGCAGGTTCGGCTGGCACCCAGTACCTGCAGAGGAAGACGTAGCAATCCTGGGTGTAGAACTGACCTGATGGCATTCAGTTGGCATGTGTGTGTGTGTGTGTGTGTGTGTGTGTGTGTGTGTGTGTGTGTGTGTGTGTGTGTGTGTGTGTGTGTGTGTGAGTTGCTGGGTTCAATCAAAGGTTGTTAATAATTGCCTTAGATTAATAAAGAAAATAATGTTGATTAATTTTTGAAAAACTAAAAGAAGGTTTAATACTTGCAATTACGTCAATTAAAATAATAATAACAAACAGCTTTAATTTCAGTTCTTCATTTGAGATCATTTTAAAGGGTGCTTTCAAACACAAGCATCGCATCCCACACTAAAAGCATGTACAATCCTGAAATATCTCGGAGACTGCACTCAAGCCAGATAGTTAAAAGTTAAAAGATTAAAGGTCTATTAAACTCTTGATGGTTTATTAATATAACATTATTAAGATATGAGACTTTCAGAGACAACCAGCTGACCACCGCCACTACTTGTAGAACAACTGCTACCATTGAGAAGAACTTCCCAATTAACACCACTTACTGTTACACAATATTTCATGGAATATTCTAGAAAAGTAATTAAAAATTGATCTCCGATAAATCTTATTTCGCTTTATTAATTTTATTTCTTTCATTTTAAATAATTTACGACAATTCACTGGATTGAATTCAAAGAATCGAAGAAAAACTCTGGTTCATGGACAAGGTCATGGTTTGAATATTAATAATGACGCAATATACTCTTCTCCTTCGTCATCATCATGTAACCTTAACAAACGCAGAGCCGCTGCAATGTCATTCCTCAGTCAATCAATCAATAAGTTACATTTTCCGGCCACAAAAGATGCAACATCCACACACAACACACACGACACGACACATGTTTGTATGATCGGCCACTCGAGCGTACATCACACACATCTTTCAGTTTCAGCCCACATGGCATCAACATCTGGCCTAACTCGCCAACCAATTTGTTGTCATCCAATCGTTTTAATCACGTCTGCTTCGTGACAACATTCGTTCACATCACATTAAAAAAAATTACATTACATCAACATCACGTTATTACAATTATAACATCAACAGATGTGCAACGATTACAACGACGACGATGATGACGACGATCCAAATTTCAGAAATTTGAAAACATGACTCCCAATTAATTAATATTTCTCAGTAAGCCAGTTAAAGTGCTTCCACGAAGAGAGTTTCGCGTTAAGTTCTATAATGACAGCAATTTTATGATAACAGCCAAAAAAAGAACACAAAAAGATATCTATATTTAGAAGATAATTACATTTAAATAATTATTACGTAGAAAAATAAAATTATATAGACCAACTGAGCAGATAGGTCAAATGATACTGATTTAATCAAAGGCACGACTCAACACACGCACGCACACACACACACGCACACACACACACCACACGCACACGCATACACATGCGTAGATGAAAATGAATCATACAAACGGAGAAACGAACAATCCTTAATACCAAGTTCTGTTATTATCATTACGGAGTAAAAACAACTACACCAGGGCAAAATGATGAGACGCTCCTGTCTGGTTCTGTCATTCCGGATGTTCTTTCAATTCACACCATCCGCTCTATCATATCAGAGATCATTTCGAATTTCAAGTCAAGTAACTATCTCCATGGCTGTGCATACACACTGCCTACATCGTTTCAAGCCAGTCCTGAACCACCCTCTCATCTGATTTCTCCAAGGTTGCCCATCTACACACACATAATCGTTCTTTTTCTTTCTCCCATACGCCCCAACCATAAAATACAATCCAATCGCACATAGGATTGGACAATAGGCAATAGACAAAGCAAAAAGACACGTATACATAAACAGACACACATACACACACGCACACATACACACACACGCACACATATAAACACAAAATACCTTTCTCCTCTTCAGGCAGTCTGACAAACTTTTTGCCCTCCAGAACGAAACTCTCCATGCCGTCCAGGTCATCATTCCACTCCTGCATCAGCTGATCCTGTTAATAATAATAATAATAATAATAATAATCAATAATAATAATAATAATAAATAATTATAACATTAGTTATTTATATAGCGCCTTATGCGTAGCATCATTACGAGTGATCAATTTTGTCGAGTTATCAATTTTGTCATTAACTGAATTCATAAAATTGTTTCTAAATTAATTATTTTAATTCATAGTTTCACTGAATTAACTTTTCTCATTTTTTAAAAATCGTTATTAAAGTAAGTGGATGATGTTGTTAAAAATTTGGAGTAAAAAAAGCTAACAGCTTCCTCGATGGTCATTGCTGGCTGTCTGGACATGAACAGAGCTGATAAGTCGACCTTTATTTTATCTCGCTCCATTATCACCTGTCATCAATCAACCAACCAATTAATCAGTCAGTCAGTCAGTCAGTCAATCAACCAACCAACCAACCAACCAATCAATCAATCAATCAATCAATCAATCAATCAATCAATCAATCAATCAATCAATCAATCAATCAATCAATCAATCAATCAATCAGTCAACTAACTAACCAACCAACCAACCAATCAATCAACCAACCAACGAACCAACCAATCAATGATTGAACCGACCTTGAGGTCTGCTCCCCTCCTGATAACGGACTCAGATGTTCTCGTGTAGTCCACTGGTATGACGTCATCCCAGCCCTTGAACTTGCTCTTGAACGTCTGCAGCTCTGTTCTATGGATTGCAAAAATAATAATAATAATTATTATTATTACTATTTATTTCTTTTTATTATAACTGCTATGATAATAACTACGATGAATAAAAGATGATGAATAAGAAAATAGAAAGGCAATGATGATAATGCTAAAAGTTTGATGGTGTTAGTTAATCAAGTGAACGAATGATTGATTGATTGAATGAATGAATGAATGAATGAATAAATGAATGAATGAATGAATAAATGAATGAATGAATAAATGAATGAACGAACGAATGCATAAACAAATGTATGAATGAACGAATAAATGAATGATTGAATGAATGTATGTATGTATGTATGTATGTATGTATGAATGAATAAATGAATAAATAAATAAATAAACAAATGAATGTTTGAATGAATGAATGAATGAATGATTGAATGAATGAATGAATGAATAAACATTTGAATAAAAGAATAATAAATATATGAAGAGGCAAAGAGGCAGAGGCAGGCAACTAACTTTTCGAGACACCTGGTGACACCGGCGTAGGAGGGTCGCTTAATGAGTGCATGTATCTCCTGGGACAACTTCAACGCTGCCGCTCTCTCCAACCTCGAGGACTTCCTACCTATCCTGAGTTAGTGAATTGATGAATGAATGAATGAATGAATGAATGAATGAATGAATGAATGAGGTAATGAATGAGGTAATGAATGAGGTAATGAATGAGGTAATGAATGAGGTAATGAATGAATGAGATAATGAATGAATGAGTGAATGAGTGAGTGAATGCATAATTGATCTAGGTTAAAAGCATTACACCACGGTGACATTGGCAAACCAACTATATAAAGAATGAAAGAATGAATAAACAAACAAAGAAATGAATTAATTAAATAATTAATTAATGATCACTGTTATAAAAATCACACCATGTCAATATCAGAAAACCAACCATATGAAGACATCTGTGTAGCAGTCGAGAATGAAGACACCTTTCGTGTCTAAAACGCTTTGTTCGAGAATTCCATGTGGAAGTTCAACTGTCAATGTGTGTGTGCGTGCGTGTGTGTGTGCGTGTGTGTGTGTGTAACCAGAAACCAGAGAAGATAAAATTTTTAAATTGTACTCAGATCACCTCTGTGACGTTATTTCTCGTGAAATTTTTGTTGCTAAAAATTTAATTTCGTTTGTTGTTTGGATGTATGTGCGTGTGTGTGTGCGTGTGTGAGTATTTGTGCATATATGTTTATGTAGTTCGCGTTTGTGCATATGTGTATGGGAAAGTGAATGTGATTATGTCTGCGTGAGAATGTCTTTAATTAACTCACTGACTAAATAGATTTAATAATATAATTTGCAAGATGACTACACTGTAAATATATAAAATGTTATTTATAAACGTCAATAAACAACTTAAAACGTTTTAAACATTAATTGAATCAGTACGATTCAATCAACTATTCCTGATGGTTTACTTTAAACGGTTAACTAGCTACTAATTATTCACCCAACTTGAACGGAATTGAAGATTTTGAAAAAATCTCATTAAATTAAAAAGCAATTGATATACACTAAAGGTGTAAAGGCTCTTTTTTGCACTTGCTGCTTCAGAGGTTTCAACGACAAACAAACAAACACGCACACACAACACACACATACATACATACCTTGGGGGAGTTCAAGATACCCCATACCGAGGCCAACCCTGTAGAGAACGGGGGGTGGCATGATGGCATGTACGTCGTACGAGCTCTCCTGGGGATGGTGGGATGTTTTTTTTATTATTCCGTAAATCAAACTCTATCAAACGCAGAGAAAGCAATAATTAAATAACAATTTAATTATTAATATTATCATGGTGTTTGTAGCTATTAAACCAATCAATCACATACAAAACACACACACACACACACACACACACACATATTGTTATAAAAAGAATATAAATACACTGCTTACAAAATCAAATAAGTATTGGAAGCGTGGAACAACGTTATAACAGCAAGTTGAAACAAAATAAAAATATTATCAATGAATGGTTATTCTTTTTTTGGCCGGCACAAGCCCAGATTTTGACATAATTTTCATTCTTACGAGATAACAAGCGTTAAGAAATCACAATCACGATCAAATAGATAAATATGGTGAAGAAATATAATAATAATAATAAGGATGAGATGTAATGTGAAATAAAAGTTAAAAAGAAATCCCGGACTGACCATGATGGGGGATAGAGGAGGCCCTCCAAAAATCTCCCAAAACTCCGCCTCCTCTAAACCTTGGTTGACCCCTACAACCTCCGTCTGACCTTTTCTTTCATTCTTGTTCATCTTCTCTGCTATTAATCTACAAACAAATTAAAGGAGATAAGAGAAATAAGAAAAACATAAACTATATAGAAAAAAAACAACAAAAGCAACAAAACTAAAAACAGCAACAACAATAATAACAACAACAATAATAAAAATGATAATAATAGCAACAGTAATAGCTATAACATTAATAATAATAGCAACCTGGCTTTGGATCTGATCATCAGCTTGGACTTTCTACCCATCCAGACATAGATAATCTTACCACAATCCACTATAAAGACGTGCCGGTGGTCCAGGGTTTGTACTTCAAGTGGACACTGGTCAGTTGTGTACGCAAATGTGTGTGTGTGTGTTTGTTCGTTTGTATGTATGTGTGTGTTTGCGTTAGTATGTGTGTAAGCGGTGTAAGCGTTCATGTGTGTGTGTGTGTGTGTGTGTGTGTGTGTATGTGTGTGTGTGAGAGAGAGAGAGAGAGAGAGAGAGAGAGAGAGAGAGAGAGAGAGAGAGAGAGAGAGAGAGAGAAAGAGCTTGTCGGTTGTGTGTATGTGTGTGCTGTAGCATAAATGAAGAGATACAAATATTTAATTAGAATTAAAATTATAATAAAGATGAGAAGGAAATAGAGTAAAAACAAAAAATCAAAAAGATGGCGACATAGAAAGGAATTTCCAGATGGAACAAAATTTCAACGCTCGCCTTTCTGCTTAAAACAAAATAAAGAAAAAATGCATCTGAAAAGTCTAGTGTATTACAGAAAAAAGTATCATTAAATCAAAAATTAACGGACCACAAAAATTGAACAACTGAATTAAATAGTAAATAGGGAAGAAATAATCATACAGCATCCAAGGTCAGAGTCAGCTGTTCTGAAACTTTGTACAATCTGTTCTGGTGCACCTGTGTATATGTTTGTATAGGGTCGCAATGCGTATGGGCGACTATATATATATATATATATATATATATATAATATAACTTTTTGCATAAATATATATGTAAAACAACATCGTCATCTACCGGATTAAACAAAACGAAATGAGCCAAAATAAAATGAGAATAGACAGACAGACATTTAGACAGGCATAGACAGACACATAGACAGACAGACAGACATACAGTTTCTTCGACGGTGAAGAACCCACAGGTAGTCCTGCCCCCTTCAATATACAGCAGACCATTCTCGAAGAGGTCCAAGAATTCGTCACTCTCGTCATCTTGTTCCTCTCTTATCGTCCTACACTCTGCCCCCAGGAAGTTGCGGAGGTGAACTGCGTGGATGGCTGCCGCCGCCTTCTTGTCCAGCTGGTCGTGGTCAGTTATGATAATATGATGTGTTATTATAAATGATAATTGAAGTGTAATGTTTATAACCGTTATCACAATTAATATGACAACAGTTATAAGTAGTACATGCATAGTTAATCAGCAAACTATGGCGCAGTCACACGAAGTAACAACACAACGAAACTTATATTGCATCTCAATGGTGTGGCACAGACGGCCCTAAATAAGACAAATAGCGAATAACCAGTAAAAATATTCAGAAGTTTTTACAAAGAGTCAAAGTAGAGGAAAGAACCATTGCAAAACATGTAGGTTGGATCAAGACAAAGCAAAATTGAATGCCACCAAGTTAATCTATTGTCGGCTCAACTGTTCACGTAGAAATCTGTTTTTTATGTGAGTTCGAAACTTGGACCAGAAACCAGAAACATATTGGAATGAATCATTTAAAATTTAAATGCTGCAGAAAGTTGTTGGAAATCAGTTGGAACAAATCGTAAAAAGCGAGATTATAAGAACCCAGTTTGGAAAAACGAAAAATATTTTTAAAAATGTCAATGTAAAAAGTCATGACTTTAAGAACATAAATGCATAATGGTGATTGATAGATTACTAAAACTGTGCTAATGAAGAGCGATGGAAAGAGAATCTGAAAGACTTCCTATTAAAGGGATAGACAAAATTACAGGACGGACTAGGTTGGAGTATTGAATTCATTGGATATCAAAAGACTAAATGGAAATGATTTTAAAAAGCAACATAGCAAAGAGGCAAGGGTCATAAGTCTATAACGGCGCTTTAAGGAGTTGGATCATTTTGCGATTGGATGATTGACATCAAGCAGGCAACTACACAACTACAACTAACGGAGGCATTCTGACCAATCCAGAACCAGATGGACCATTGGTAGTTGCTCTTCTCGTCGATTGTTGTCTTTAGGACGATGTAACAATCCGCATCATAAAACTTTCCATGCAGCGCTGTTTCAAATGGCGTGCAAGAGATGAAAATTGTAAATATTTATATCATATTCACAGCATGATAGTAATATATGACGGTAAAATAACTTCTTTAAACATAAACTTAACATTTCAAATAAGTTGAATATAGGTAGTTCATTTAAATTTTCATAGCTTCATTTGTACATTGGAGAATAATACACACAAACACACAGACAAACAGGCATGCATACGCAAACATACAAATACATCTACACACACACACGCACCACACACACACGCACACATACACACACACACAAGCAACAAGCAGCACTCCCTGCTTTATTATGATTACAATATATGTCTATTCTCATCATCTTCTCCTATTATTTTTTAGTAATTTAAAATCATAAGTAGGTGTAAAATAAGCTGAGTTAATAGCCAACAGGGGTTGACTTTATTAAAAACGTAGGTAGGTGAAATCTGAATTAATTGAATATATAGGTAAGCAAGGACTAAAATTAAAGTTGAGAGAAAATTGGCCATAGGCAGGTGTGTCTCATCATTTTATATGTGCTTATTCTATGAGCGTGTTTTTTGTGTGTGCCTTCACTTCGATGTGAGCTCTCTCAATGCAGGGAACGTCTTAGTCATGGAAGCATTCGAATACGAAAAAAAATCTAACCGGAATTAAATAAAAATGCATTTGATTGTATCAGTAGAGTGAATTGCAAACTCCATTGCACTAACCTTCGGATAATAAATTAGGTAAGAAATTGTCCATCTCCCAACAGGAAATACCTTTGAGGATGGAGATTACAAATTTTAACAAACGGTCATTTTTATTTGTTACCATTATCCGTGATCAGCCACTCATCACCGCCATCGTCATCATCCTTATCACCACCACCATCATCGTCATTAATTTTACGAGTTATCATAGTCGCCGGTTTGTCATCACCATTTTTCTCATTTCAACAATCATCTTCACATTATTCACCCCATGACCACTTTCACCATCATCATCATCATTACCATCATCATCAATATCATCATTACCATCATCATCATCATTATCATCATCACCATTACAACCATCATCGTCATCGCCATCATTATAACCATCATCATCGCCATCAGCTGACCTTCAACTTGGCCTACATCCTCATCAAACAGGTCACAGTAGTTCAGGTTGGGCCTCTCAAGATTCTCATCCCACTTTTTCCCCCTGGTATAATAAATAATTACAATAGAAATAATAATAATACTTATAATAATTGTTATTGTTTTAATAATAATAATTAATTATTATTATTAATATTATTACAAAGCACCAACTTGATTGGTTCGCCATTGGCAGCCCCACCAGGATCAATACGACCTTTGTCCTTTGCCACATCTTGCATGCCCTGACGGTGAAGATGATGATGACAAAATGATGTGACGACGATGATGATGATGATGGGATGGCGATGATGTTGATGTGATAACATGACATAACTATAACATAAAGCAACATAACGTAATGTAACATAAAACGACGATGAAGTGATGGTGATAACGACGGTGACTAAACAGACAGACAGACTAGACTAGACAAGACTAAACAGACAATCACTAGACTACAAATTTGTCCAAAAATAGAGATTAATTTAAGTTGGGGTCATGTCAGATGTGAGAAATTTTTAAACGGGCAACTATCATGGAATGGATTGTAAAACAATAAAATAAATAAATGAATGAATGAATGACCTTAAGGACTTTAGCACTCTCATCTGTCTCATCAGTATCTCTTCTTTTCCTCAACCTCTTCATCCGAGCGTGCACATCTCTCTTCCCTGGATCGGATCGTGCATTGGCATCAACCAAATTATCGATTGACAGTATAACGAGGAGGTGAAGTAGAAATACAAAAAAATGATAACAATGGAAGTAATTGAAAAAAATCATACATCACATTAGAAAAAGTTAATACAATCGAGATCCATCATTAGCAAAGCAACAACTGCAATAGATAAATTATCTAAATAACTAATACACAGCAACAACAACAACATCCAAATTTCAGAAACACGTAGAACAATACCCAACAAAACTAACGAAAAATTATATAGAAGAAAAAAAACACAGAGCAGAAGAGCAATTGAATAATAAAAAAAATGACAACAAAAAATGACATCCACAACAACGTCCATCACAACAACCGAACAACTACAAAAACAAACACAAGAAAAAAAAATCAGACTTGGAGTTTCTTCAGTGGTGGGAGGGGGTGCGGCCCCAGCCAGCTGGAGTTGATGACTCAACGAGAAATCGATGTTGTAGTACTCAATTCCCGACCCTTTAATGAGTTCAGGGGGTTTTGGCGGGAAAACGAGATTCGGGTTGTCATTGACGTCGAGAAGTTCAAGGTCAGTGAGGAAGTGGATGGCGTCTGGAAGTGTTATCAGTTTGTTTCCGGTTAGGATAAGTTTTTTCAGTCTGCCACATCTGTTGGTTGTTGTGGTTGATGCTAGTGGTAGAGGTTGATGTTTTGTCGAGGGTTTGTGCTGTTTTTTGGATCTTGTGAACGTTATCATCTTTAATGTCATCAAAGTGTTGTAATTTGTTGTTATAGATACTACAGGTGATTGTGTAATTGTAGAGTGATCTTAATTTATCACCTCAATAATACAACATTATTAATGATTACAATAATAAATTGATGGAATCAGGGATTGAAATAAAGCCAGACAGACAGACAGCCAGCCAGCCAACCAGCCAACTAACCTACAAACACCTTCCGGAATCATCTCCAGGTTATTATTGGCAGCACTGAAAATTTCCAGGCTATGCAACTTGCCAATGCCAGCGGGAATGCCGTTGAAGTCGATGTTGTTGCTGTTGGCGTACAACTTCCGGAGGTTGGAAAGCTTGCAGAGAGAAGCCTTACGTGGGTGGGTGAGTGGGTGGGTGATGATGGTGTGGTGGTGGTGATAGGAAGGATGATGATGTTGATAATGATGATCATGCAGTAACGATTTGAATATGGGAATGAATAAAAGATGACGACAATGTTACAAATGACTACGATGATGATACTGACTATAATGACTGATAATAATGATGATGATAACGGAATGATTACAATAATAATTTGATTGGTTGATAGTGGGCAGTGAGGAAAATGACATCACATATATCGTCATAATAGTGAAAATGACAAAAGTGTTGAGGGTGTTATTACAAAACTGATGACCAAGGAAAAGTTATCTGCAATCATCATCAGTATCATAGTCAGTATCATTATCGTAAATGATTAGGAGAAGGTAAATTGATGATGATGATAATGATGATGATGTTGATGATGATAAGAGAGGGCAGACATGCTTACGGGTAGCTCAGAAAGTTTGTTGCGTGAGACGTTCAAGTACTCAAGCTGGCTCCAGAATTCTGAATTTTAATTATTTAAATAATTGATTAATTAGCAAATTGTGAAAATTTCTGCTGGTTAGAAAAGTGATTCTAAATTATTGAATAAACTGAGTGACTTTTTAAAAACTGGTTGAATGAAAATATTTCCTTCTTAAATTTGCTTACTTGTTATTAGTATAGAGAATTAAAAGTAAGAAAGAAAGAAGTTAGATAGTTGAATAACTTGACCAATAAAGCTCAAACCAATCAATCCGCCAATAAGTCAACCAATCAATCATCCAATCAATCAATCAATCAATCAACCAATTAATCAACCAACCATCCAACACACTAATTAAACAACCAACCAACTAACCAGCCAACAAACCAACCAGTCATCCAACCAACTAATTAATCAATCAACCAACCAACTAATTAATCAATCAACCAACCAATCATCCAACCAACCAATCATAGTAGATAGATCAGTGATTTCATTATCACTGATATTCAGACGAACCAGAGTTCTAATCCTATAAATGGATTCAGGGACAGATGGAAAGCCGTTGAATGACAAGTCCAAATCTAATGTTTGTGATAAGTGAATGAAATATTTGTCACAACGTAAGTGCATCTAGAAAGAATCTGACAGAAAACAGTATCATCTTGGAATAATTTTATTAATTTAATAACAACCAGACAACAAACCTAAAACTAACAAAAGTAAACCAAAACACGAACATAACCACCAACAACCAACCAGCACCAACAACCAACCAACCACTGACCAAACCCAACCTACCACTAGCCATTACCTACCAACCAACCAACCAACCACTAACCATCCCAAACCAACCACTAACCACAACCAACCACCAACCGGCAAGATTAGAAAGAGATTCAAAGCTGGCGGGGAAGTTGTTGATGGTGCGAGCAGTGTTGCTCATATGGAGAAGCTCGAGTGTTGACAACGAAGGTAGCTGCCTCAGGTTGGCGTGTGTGAGGGGGTTGTTGTTCAGGATGAGGCATTTCAAGTTTACCAGACGTCTCATTTGTGGCGGGAGAGTGTCTGAGTCGTGATGAACCGATGGATGGATAGATGGATGGATGGATCAATAATTGGATGAATGTACTAATATGATGATGATGGGTTAGGGTGGATGGATAGATGGATGGATGCATGGATAGATGGATAGATGATGTACGGATGAATGAACAATCACATAGATAACATATTTTTAAAACTGATAGTAGGAAAGATCAAATTGAGAAAAGTAGTTTGTGCTGATTAAACACACCTAATTTATTATTTCCAAGATCAAGGTAGATTAGATCAGTCAGGTTGATGAACAACGGATTTGGAATACTCTCGATACTGCCGGCAAAAAATCAATTGAATAATTTTACCATTCCATTTCGTTTCTTAGTCGTTTTACCATTTTATCACATGATCATTTCATCCCAGCATGTTATGTCAATGATTCGAAATGTTCTAAATAACTGTACCGTCTAAATGTGATGGCTATGTCCATATTTTCATTTGTTATCAGATTGAGTAAGTAAGTATCATTGATCACCATTATCATCATATTATTCACATCAACATCATCACCATCCTCATCATCATCATCATCATCACCATAATCAACATGCTTCACCTTCTACTAATCATCATTACCATCATTACAATAACAACAATAACAATTATTATTAATAATAGTATTTGTTTATTCGTTTATAATAATTATTATCTACTCTATTAATTATTATTTCTATTATCTCCCCCCTTAGTCTTGAAACCAACTTGTTGTGATTTAAATTTAGGACGAGAAGATTTTTGGCATTCTCGAGTCCGGCCGGTATCTCTTTCAACTGATTGTGACCGAGATCCTAGAGGCAGACAAACAATAATGAATGAATTTTCATAAATATAAATCTTAAATCAAAACAATGCTTGGACTAGGTTAAAAATGGTGATTTTACAAAATTAAAGAAGCTGCCTATTGAAAGTGAATATAATGAAATAGTGAGAATGCATACAATGACAGATAAATCCTCAAGGTTGAATAGATCCTGGGGCACTCCGTCATTCTTCAACTTGTTGTGTCGGCAGTACAGGATCCTTAGATTTGGCAAGTTGCATATATCCGTGTGGATGTCCCGTAGGTTATTTCTGTTCAGTGATAATGATTCCTAGGAGAAATTATTAAATTATTTTCTGTATTAAATAAAAATAATAAAATTTTGATCATTTTATAATTAAATGTTTTAATATTAAAAATTTATAAAAAAATTAAGCAAAAAGTTCAAGTGCTATTAAAATTTAACAACTTTAAAACAAAATCTACCAAAAATTAATCAAAAAATTTAATGGTTCTCTAAAAAATATTATGCATATGCAACCGACAAATAAATAACAAAATTATTAGAAAAAAAGCAGTGACACAATAACTCATAAGTCATAAAATATTAAACTTTAAAGAGCACTAAATTAACTTTTCTCTAAGATAAAAAATCCAAAGATTGTATAATTTTTCTGTAACAACCAACCTTTACCATACAATAAATATAAGATTGGCCTAAATTTTATTTTAAATAATATACTGACTAAAGATTGGATTAAAGAATGAAACAGAAAATTCACACTACACTTCACAGACTTGCTACATAAAAAATTCATTGAAAAGTTCATCATATAATTATAATATAAGACTAATTAAATATAGTGAATGAAAATTAAATTTGATTCAAACTAACAAGTTTTTTGAGATTTTGAAGTTCGTAAGGAACAACATCCAGTTGTGTCCTGTTCAATCTCAACCAGCGCAGACCCACCATTTCAGTGACATGGTAAGGAAATCTGTCATTCTATCAGAATAAAAATATGTAGTGAATCACCCCTCTCTTCACCCATTCATTTTTTATAATTAATGTTAGTATAACTGTTTAAGATTAGAAGGTAAGGTAAGGTAAGAAGAATTAGGAGTTGATGAATCAGCAGTCAATACAACCATATTGCAACAGGTAGCAGCAGGTAGGACATTCATAGATTACTAATCTATTAGTCTAGTTCTAGATTAGACAGATAGTATTTGTATTAGCCATTTAGAATTAAGTAGTTAAATTTTTTTCAACAAACTTTTTTAAAAATCTTTTAAATTTATCTGATAAAAAAATAAAACTTAACTTTTGTAACAAAGAATATAACTTACATTGAAATCATTTTTAGTGAAGTCGATTCCGCGAACGAAAGGCAGAACTCCAGTGTCGGCCATTATTCTAGGTTTTTTTTAACAAAATTCACTTTTAGTTTTGTTAACTTTTAAGACGCGTTTTAAAAGTTGAAGAGTTAAACAGACTACCTTTACGACAATTACAAAACTATATACTTAGAATACAAAACGAACATGGATGGAAAAATTAAAAAATTAACCAACATTTAAAAATAACTTTAAAAAATAACTTTAAAAAATACGTTGTTTAACACCGTGACACTGGAGTTCTGCCGTTTGTTAAGCAAGAGCTCGAATTTTCTAAAGCTTTTGACACTCTCAATCACTTCTTACTTTCAAATAAGTTAGCCTCTCTTCCTCTATTTGACAACATTTACAATATTATAACAAATTTGCTTTAATGAGAGTTATTCTACTTTCTTTAGCTTTACTCTTTCATCTACTCTACCTATTAATTCTAGCGTAGTTCAAGGTTCTGTCCTTGAACCATCTACCTTTATCATCAATGCTTCTACTCTCAAAATTTTTCATAGCTCTAAGCACATCATCAAATACGCTGATGACACCTACTTTATCATCCCATCATCTAGCTCAAACACCATCCAATCAGAACTCAACTCATTAACTACATGGTCAAAACGATCAATCATTCCAACTCATCATTCACAATAGCCGTAAAAAAATAACATTACCTCCAGAACACCCATCAATCAATCACTCGTACAAGTCAATTAAAAATATTAGGCATCACATTCACCTCCACACTTAATATTGCACCTCATATCAATCACATCATCACAAAAGTCTGTCAAACATTTCACGCACTCAAAACACTCCGCAAACATGGTCTCAGAGGCATTACATTTTTCAACATCACTGAATCATTCATAATCTCACGCATCAATAATTCATCAAATATGCAGCTCCCTCCTGGTCTGGTTTTGCTACACAACAACAACTTCAGCAACTACAATCTCTCATCAAAAAACTAACCCGCTTCAACTATCTACCTGCATCATATCCTACCGTCACTCAGATATTCAACACACACGATTCAAGGCTGTTCAAAAAAGTAGAAAATAACAACCACGTCATCCATCCTCTACTACCACCAAAAAACTACAAGACACAACATAACTATCAAGTAGCCACCCAATCTACATACCAGGAAAAAACTTTCATCACACAAAGACACCTCAAACATATTAACACTCAATAAAACTTCATCATTCACACTAGTTTTTTTTTATCGATCACCTCACTAACTCACTGAAGTCATCATCTAATCAATTAATTTGGGTTTTTATGCCATTGCTTCATTTTATTGTCAATTAATTTTATTTTCTTTTATTTATTTTATTATTATTATTTATTCTATTTTATTTTATTATTCATTTTTAAACATTTTTCTTACTCCGTTTATTTATTTACTTATTTGTTTAATTTTGTACTACTGCATTGCATGCTGTAACAGTTTCTGCGTCTGTCAGATCCATGGTCAAATCCTGATTTTGAAAGAATAATAAAAAAAAGTTATAAAAGCAAATTTAAATTAACGATGTGTTGTATTATCTATGTTCGAGTTGTTTATTTAATGCTTTGATAGCGATGTTATGCATGATTACTCTGCGAGCGAACTTATCGTATCGTAGTTGAATTTACGTTACATAAAATTAATCTGTCAGTTGAAAATTTTTGAGAGTCAAGATGGCTCCGGTGGAACCGGTTACTGTTGAAGAAAAAGTTGACGAATCCCAAACAGCGCCCATCCTGAAACCAACGGTTGGAATTATTTATCCACCACCTGAAGTTCGAAGTTAGTGTAAAAAAGTTATAGATATTCAATTTTAATTAAATGTTAAATCTAATTAAATTATTAATTATATAGTTTAAATGAATACTGCAAAATCAGAATTATTTGTTTATTATTTGTTTGATTTATTTTATATTATTTAATGATTTATTAATATTTTGTTATTAATTATTAATTTTGCTTTCAGACATTGTTGATAAAACGGCACTTTTTGTGGCCAGGAATGGACCTGAGTTTGAGGCTAGGATTCGACAAAATGAGCTGAATAACACCAAGTTCAATTTCTTAAACACCAATGATCCTTACCACAGTTATTACAAGCACAAGGTCAAGGAAGTCATGGAAGGAAAAGGTAAGACATTTTTTAATTTTTAGCTTAATCTTTTTAGCGTTCTGTATTTTATATCATGCAGTTCTGACATGCTCTTTACTCTTTACATATTCTGTAAGTAAAATAAAACTTTTGCAATTAAGGTTGTACCATTCACACCACAAGATGTAGGAATGTATTTACATATTTTGTGTACACATGCAAGCATTACATTATGAAAAATACACACATGATGTCGTGTGGTAGTCTTTGAACCAGGTGAGTGCACCATAATAACTCAAAACATGGCACTTCTACCCACTAAGCTAACTCACCCACCGACCCTATCAATGATCATGATCATTATAATTAGTGATGGATATTTAACAAGATGGAATAATGTTATAGATGATGATGTCATTAACTATTATAATGGAATTTCCAATTTAAATTTTGTTTGTGCATTTAATAACATGAACATATTTTTGATTGATTGGGACTGTTTTTTAATATTATGTTAAGAATCATGGCCAGGGGGAGTTTCCGGGGTTCAAACCTCCCCAAAATAATTATTTCAACATTTGATCTGTTTTATATTTGCTATTTGTTATTTAGAAAATATGACTCAGGGTGGGGTAGATGAAGTTTGACTTTATTTTTGCAATGGAAGCTAGTTTAATTTTTGAGAAAGTCTTGTTCGTTTATTTAACCTCGAAGGTATTGCAAAATTGTTGACAGAATAGAATTGTGTAAAGGGTTGAAAGAGCCTTCAGGCATACAAAAGCTATAGAAAGCTAGTTTTGTTTCCAAAAATTCATCTTCTTAATCCGTTTTAATGCGCCGAAGATTTGTATGATTAAAGTTTGTAACTCTCTACTTCAAATTTTGAAAACTTTACCAGCGTAAAACTGCCGCACTAAAAAAACATTCTCTAGTCTACAGAGCCTTAAACATTTTAAAGAACCAAATTAGGAAATGAAATATAAATTTTAGAAACACAACATCCAAAGTTATGCTGAGTAGATTAGTTTTATTAAATGTTCACAATAATTTTAATCTAGATGTTAGATATATTCAGTTTGAAAAATTTTTTTTTTATAAATTTTATCATGATTATAATTTATTTTAAAATTATATTTATTATAAAATTATAAGTTGCATGTTATTTATAATTTAATTTTTATGATAAAAAATAATAGATTTTGGTATATTTACATTTATATTTTGATAGTATTAATCCACTTTTATTTTTTGTCGCTATATTTATGCATTTATCAGAGTTGAACATTGAAAAAATAAAATAATGTGTATTGAACCTCTCTTCTGAAACAAAATTCCTGACTACCTTACGCCTATGTTATGAATACTTTGTTTACTCTGTTAATAAAAGCCAAATGAATGAAATTATTTATTTTAAAACAGGCCAGGAGCCAGCAGCATCCAACATTAAAAGTGGCTTAGGATTTATGCCACAGAAGCCAATATCTGAAACTCAGCAGAAGATAATTGAGACGATTATCCCTAAAGAACCTCCACCCGAGTTTGAGTTTATAGCTGAAGCTCCCACCATATCAGCCTTTGATTTGTATGTCTTCTTATAATTGTTAAATCTTGATGAAATATCTTCTGCTATTTTTCCTCTAAATATTTGTTACATTTTTTCAAAAAAGTTCTAAATTGAAAGTGTTTTATTTTTATTCTTCAGCTGAAATTTAATCTTTGCTGAATATCATTTTCAGGGATGTGGTCAGATTGACAGCACAGTTCGTTGCTCGCAACGGCCGACAGTTTCTAACGAACCTGATGAACAGGGAGCAGCGAAACTTCCAATTCGACTTCCTCAGACCCCAGCACAGTCTCTTCAATTACTTCACAAAACTTGTCGAACAATACACTAAGGTTTCTCATGTTTCTGTTTTTTATGATTTCATGTTTTTCTTACCTATTTCATATTTTTGTCGTTAAAGTTAAATATAATATAAGTAGTAGTTGGAAAAAAGTTAATGATTTTGTAAAAAAATAAATTGTACAGGTTCTTCTGCCACCAAAAGATTTGGTCATGAAACTAAAGAAAGAGACTGAGAACCCTAAATATGTTTGTCATTTAATCATTTACTTTGTTGAAATTTTCTCAATGATTCCTTCCTTCCATGTGAATTTATTTTTCATTAATTTCAATTCATATAATTCAGATGCATTCAGTTTATTAATATATTATTTAAAAAAGTATTCTTATTATTTCTACAAATAATCATACTTGCCGATAATTCCAACAAAACTTCATCATCATGTTTTCCGCTATTTAGATATTGCAACAAGTGAACTACAGAGTCGAGTGGATGAAATTTCAGGAGCGAGAGAAGAAAAGAGAGGAGGATGAAAGGGAGAAAGAAAGAAGTAAGTTGTTGTTGTTGTTGCTGCTGTTGTATTTGTTGTTGTTGTTGCTGCTGTCGTCGTTGTTGTATTCAAAGTAGTTTTACATGGGTTGTTGTTGTGTCTCAGTGGCATTGAATTATGATGAGTAGTTGTTTTGTTAATGTTTTTGTTCTGTTGGTGTTATAATCTGAAGATTAGAACTGATGTGTTGAAATGAATCAATTGCTATGGTAATTAATGCATTGGCAATTTTTTGACTGTTTTGTGTCTTTCTATTGACTGGTTTCCTAATTTAAACGATAATTCAATTATGCCATATCTTAAATAGTGAATTGTTTGTTAGTGGTAGCAGAACAACACTGTGACACTATTTAATTTGGGAAAGTATGACGCTTATCTCTCAAACATGTAACGTTAAAAACAGTTGCCTATGCTCAAATTGACTGGCACGACTTCGTCGTCGTTGAGACAGTTGACTACCAGCCGCACGAAACTGGCAACCTTCCACCACCCACGAATCCCGATGAGGTTGGGGCCAGGATTATTGCTCAGGAGAGATATGAAAAACATGATGGGGTAGGTTTTTTTTTATTTCCCATTGTTACTTTCACTGCACTTGATGTTTGTATCGTAGGATATATTGATTGTTGGTTTGTTGGTTGGTAAACTAATGAGTGTACATATCAATGAATGGTTTGATTGGACAGACATTTTGTATTGTTATTGTGTTAATTTGTAACATAAATGTAAATTTTATTAAAAGATGTGGGAAGATGAAGAGGAAGTGGGTGTTAATGAAGATGGCGATGAAGATCGCGACTACACTGGTGAAGTCGAAGAGGACCACGAGGGTGACGAAGATGGAGAAACTGCTCCAGCATCCAAACAGCAACAACAGCAGGAGACAGTTGATATGAATGGAGGCACAAAAGAGGGCAGTGAAGTGAGAGGGAGTCATGAAAATGATGCTTCACTAATTAGAGGAGCTGACACTAGTGTTCAGGTTGGTTAGATGGCATTTCTTTAGCAAAATTTGGGGTATATCGATCCCAGTTTGGCTAATGTTTACTTGCGTTGTGATTCAATCGTGTGTGTTTTACATGAAATATTTCAATGGTAAGCAAGAACTTTTATCAAAAATGAAACTCATTGGCTCACACTAACAAACAACCACCAGGACATGGAGGAAGATTCAGATGACGAGGAGGACAAGCAACAACAGCAGTCCAATCGTCAGATGCCCCAACATCCACCATCCCCAACGATGCCACCCATCTCACAACCACCACCGCTTCCACCATCTCTCAAAGGTCCTCCTCCACCACCAAACTTCAATCAACCTCCCCCTCCACCCATGGCCACCCAGACCCACTACCCGGCCTTCAGTCAGGACAAGATCATCATCAGGAAAGATTATGACCCTAAAGGTTTTATGGAATTTGTATTTTTTACTATTTTAAAAATTGTTTTTATGTGATGATGTATTTTTCACGACTATAATATTATTCTCTAAAGTAATTTTATTTCAAAGAAGTTGTTTATAATAATAAAAATAATTTTTTCGACTCTAGCACCAAAGCCAGCAGACCCGAGCTTGCAGGCAGACAAGTACCTGATATCCCCGATCACCGGCGAGAGGATCCTGGCCGACAAGATCCAGGAACATATGAGGATTGGTCAGTTCTTCTTTCTACATTTTCCGTCTTCTTCTTTTATTTTTTGGTTTTTGTGTTTAAACTTTTTTAACTGCTCATTTTATAAGTTTATGACTGAACTTATAGAAATAAATTTTTATTATTCTTAATTTCAATCTTACAAAAATGCACAAAAGCTTTGGTATTAATGACGTTGATGGTGATGTATCTCTGGAGGGATAATGAACACCTATTGGTAATAATTTAAGGTTTACTGGACCCAAAATGGAAGGAGCAGACGGAGAAGATGATCCAGGAGAGGAGGGAACAGGAAGAAGTGTATGCTCCTGGATCGAGCATCGGCAGCAACTTGAGACAGCTGGCGGAAAGGAGAACTGATATCTTTGGATCGGGAGCTGAGGAAACTCAAATCGGAAAGAAAGTTAGCCGGTTGATCGACTGATTTGAGTGATTGATGCTTTCTTCTTTTGATTAAATGATTCAGTTGATGCAACACAGATCGATAAATTAAGATAGTGGTTTTTTTTATGTTAAAAATCCATAAAACATTTTTTCCAACCAAATACGACAACAGATTGGTGAAGAGGAGAAGAAAGAGAAAGCCAAAGTGATCTGGGATGGCCACAGCACATCCATGGAGAAGGTCACACAGAAGGCCAGAGAGAACATCACCATCGAAGATCAGATTGCTGTCATACATAAGAACAAAGGACTTGTGTTAGCATTTTTTCCGATGTTTATGTTATCATTGTTGTTCTTGTAGCTGCTCTTTTGAACTCTGTTGTTGTTGTTATTATTATTATCATTATTGTTGTTGTTGTTTTTGTTGTTGTTATTGTTGTTAATGTTTCAATCCAGTTGCCTAATTTTATTTTTTTTCCAATGATTACAATTATTATAATTTTTCTCGCAAATAACTCATTGCAGTTCTGACGATGATAAGGAAAAAATCGGACCAGCCATGCCAAAACCACAGCAACAATATCAGCTGCAACAACAACAAATTCAGCAGCAAATTCAACAACAGCAACAAATTCAACAGCAAATTCAACAGCAGCAACAATCGTTGATGAGGCCAGCAACAACGACGGCCGCTCCCGTTATGCCTCCTCAACAACAACAACAACAGCCACCACAACAGCCTCCACAACAGCAACAACCACCACAACAGCAACCACCGCAACAACCACGTCCGCCAATGATGCTGCCCACTCAGTCGATGATCCGACCTCCAATCGTGCCCCAGATGCCCGGGATCAGACCTGCCCTCGGTCTCATGGCTGGCATGATGCTTATGGGGCAAGCTGCTCAGAATGCCGTCGCTGCCGGTTGGTTGATGATGATGATGATGTTATGATGATGATTAAGATGATGATGATGATAAGTTATGATGATGATGATGATGTGATTTGATTTGAAAAAATATTTAATCCAGCCAACGACTTATACTCTTCACTAAGATTGACTTCATCAACTTCATTATATTTCCTCGCGACCACCACCACTACAACCACCTTCACTAAAACATGAACAGGAGTAATGCCAATGGCTCACCCTCCATTCCTCCAGCCTGGCAACCTTCTGCCAGCCCTGGCTAACCAACTCATGCAACCGTTACAACAGCAGCAGCAACAGTTGCAGCAGCAAAAACCAAAACATCCAACTGGCGATGATCTCGAGGCAGACGAACCAGCGGCTAAAAAGTCAAAGACTGAAGATCAACTGATGTCTGAACAGGAATTCCTGGCCAAGAATAATGTTAGTCTAACTTCTCCTTCTAACTCCTTTTTGTCCTCTGTTTCTGTTATTGGTTATTATTTTTTTAATTTTTTTTAACGTTATTTAGATCACGTTAAACACACTGATTTGCATTTAGCGGAATTATTAGAATTTCTCTTTCATCTCTACAACAGGGTCCAGTTGAGTTCACAGTTCAGATGCCATTGATTGACAGATCAGAGTGGAAGTTGAATGGACAGTCCTTCACAGTTACACTCCCTCTCACTGATACTGTATGTTTTTTTTCCTATCTCTATTTCTCTGTTTGTATATTTGTTTGTTGGTCTGCTTGTACATTCCTTAATGATTTGTTGTAACATTTATTTATTGTTTATTTTAAATTTTGTTTTGCCTTTTCGAATCTGCTATTTTTATGGTTTCTTATTGGTCATTGTAATGATTTGTGGTGATGGAAATGTGTTACAGTGGTAGTATAATACATGTATGTAATTTGCTATAAATGTTTATATAAGTAAACTATTTGTTCATTTATTGCAAAATTATTTTTGTGATTCGTTAAGCAACATTGTCCTTTGCTGTCTTTTGAATGTTTTGTTTGAATGCTGTCAGGTGTCCGTGATAAAGGCGAAGATCATGGAAGAAGTTGGCATGCCAGCAGGCAAGCAGAAGCTGCAGATGGATGTTAGTAATTTGGTTTTATTCAAGTATTTGTATTTATTTGATTGTTTTAATTATGTAATTATTTTAATTTGTACTTGCTGCACTTGTTTCATTTAGCTCCATTACGATTCATGTGAATTAATTAATTCCTCTTTTTAACATTTTGGCAGTTTTCTTTTCTATACATCATTTGTCACTCCTCGATCATTCTTTTACCATTGACAAATGTTCAACCATTTTAAGTCATCTTCACACTTTAAATATGAATTAACAATATAACAAGTTAAACTTTTGATGACCAATTGAACGTCCACACGATGTTTACCTCCTACCAGGGCATGTTCATGAAGGACTCCAATACACTGGCCTACTACAATTTCAGCGCCAGTACTGTCGTGCATCTGCAACTGAAGGAAAGAGGAGGCAGGAAGAAGTGATGCAAGAGGGCGTCGGGCATCTTTATTCAGACAGACATCATTCATACACGTTTTCATTGGATGTTGTTTTTGTAATGGACGTTTTGATTGGTCATCATTTTGGTCACATCGTCTTGATTGGCTTTATTTGAGAGCTTTTGGTTGTTTCATAAGAAGATTTGTTTTTCAAGAGGTTTATTGGATGCTTATTGAAAGATTTTATTGGCTGGTTTGAAAACTTTGATTAACTGCTACTTATCCGAAATTTAAGTTCAATGTGTTCTAGTTGTTGAAAAGAATTTGTTGATGATGTTCATAACGATAATGATGATGTCTAGTCTAAGCAGATGATGATGATGATGTGAACTCTGGCTTTAAGTTTGTATCAGATTCAAATTCATACATTCTTGGACTATGATTAATTATTTAATTAATTATTATTATTATTGAGTGATTTCTGGCTTCAAAATTGTCGCAAGAATTCGTTCTAATTTATAAATTTTCTAAATAATTGATGGTTACCTTTTGTTATAAGTTGTTTTATTTACAACTCCATCTCCTCGTTACAATATTGGAAATAAACGAATGAAAAATAAATAAACGTTTGACAAAAAGCTTGTTTTTAATTTATTCATTGAAAGCTTGATTTATAAATGGAGCTTGTAATATATTAAGTGACAAATGTGCATATGAATATTCCGCAGTTTTACAATACGGCACCATCCGATTAAGCTTGAATGTCTTGAATGAAATTGTCAGAAATTAAATATTGTTTTTTATGCGTGCACAGAATGATTGTATGACCCAAAGATACTTACAATACTTTAGTATTGCTTTAATTCAGGTCTAATTAAAATGCAGGTTTATCTCAGAAGTAGTTCACGACATGAACAATTCAAGGGTCACCTTTGCTTTGTTTTTTGAAAGTTCAACTCTGCATGGGACATCGTTGCATGCATAAGTGTTTTACGATTTGATGATCAACAACGGATATTTTATCATGTAGTAAATTAGTTGGTATTAATAAATTTGTAAGCAGTAGTATTCTAGTACGCTTAGACCTCAGGTATATCATCTGTACATTCTTTGATGATTAATTTTGCGTGCTTTCATACTTTCGCATAGTAAAACCAGGGATAGTAATAGGCCAAGCAAATAATCTGCAACTGCTGAATGCGTGGAAGAAATTAGAAATGCAAACAATGTTTCAACATTTATTGTTAGGTACCTACGTTTCGATATGTTTACTTGACACATGTATGTGTTAGTGTATGTCTGTCTGTTTGTGAATGCATGTTTTAGGCATATTTAATTTAAATATGAACATAATTTGCGATGTTGATATGCATACTAAATTACAAACATGTTTCGAAATATAAATTCAAAAGTTTATAATTATGTTTTAGTGTGCAGTCAGCTGAGTTTGTGTGTGTGTATCGATTGGTGTGTATGTATGAGTAAGTGAGTTGCTGTGTGTACTAAGAACACATGTTATCATGGCGCACAGCATAATCAATCGTAATAATGAACGAAGCAAGCAAGCAAGCTTGCCTATAACTTCGATCATAACAACTGGTCGATATTTAATCATACGTAATCAAACAAAAGAAAAATAATTAAGCTACCTAGTTGAGTTGAAACAAACGTTATAATGTTAAAAGATGAAGCAATGATCGTACAATGATTAGAATCAAATTGACTCGACTACGCGTTTTCTACTGCCATTTTATAACAAAGTTAAAAAATAAAATAGGTTAAAATTATTTCTAGCAATAAACAATCTTGACGAAGACAATAAGAGAATGACAAAATTTCTAAAACCCATTTCAAGAAGCATTTTAACAAAACGCGCGCTTATGTACAAACGTGTGCTATATACCAATCGAAACGAATATTTTTCTAGAAATTATAACGTTTCCCTACTAAAATATGTTGCCTTCCAGATGGTATAGAGACAGGAAATGGATACGAATCGGAAAAACACGAATGAAGGATAGGCTATTGATCGGATGAATATCCAAGCCGGTCCTGTTGTTAAATAATACGAGCATGAAAATTTAATACGCAGCTTTTGTAATGATTATATAATACGATAGATATATGAAGTCTTGACAATTTTACAACTCTTAAAAACAGCTGAGCGTGCCTTCAAAAACGTGTTAATTTGAAAAAGTATGAAAAATTGAAAGAAAAAAAATTGTTCAAGTGACTAAGACTAACCGGTGTAAACGAGAGAAGGCACGACATTAGTTTCAAACCTCCTTGGTTCACAAATCGAACAAAGCATCAAGGCCAGGTTACAAAACCACAAAAAAGTTACGATGGCTCTTCCGGGCTTTGACCTCCTCTGTTTCAAGGTCACCGTTTTTTTATCCATGCCTTCTAACAAAAATCTTGTCTGTAGAAGGGCATGGAAAAGAACCACCACCGCAGTTCCGATAGTGAAGATGGCAATCAACTGCTGTGAAGAATTAAAAGTTTGGAAAAAATTTGAAAAAAACATCTTTTTGGTAGTCGTTCCAAAACTGGAAGTTGAAGTTTCAGCTATGGCTGTAGTTGTAATATTTTTGGGAAAATACTCATCGCCTTCCTTGGTTGGATTTGTTCTACTGAATGAATGTAAGAGTTCGATGGAAGTTGCCAGAATGTAGAAACCTTGCAAGACCAGCACTCCTGGGAACGAGACAAGCAAGAGAACTTTTTCAATTCGGATGTCAGACGGAAAGAAGCCACTTATGAACATCGTTTTAATGTCTCCCAGTTTATTCAACCTTATAGCTGCAACCAAAGTTCCAACGATGCAGATGATCATCAAAACGTGATCAGTACTGAAGGAGATTAACGTTGCGACGCCGATAACTTCATCTTGTACGCTGCTGGTGAAGAAATAAACTTTCTTGTCCCTCGCACCAAAGACGTAGTAACACAGTAGAGCAATCAAGGTGCTGGCTACGACGATGACTCCAAGAAAAATGCCTTTATGAGACTTGTCGCAATTAGACATCATGGTCGAACGCTGCTGTTGATTTAATGATTTAACGACAGATGCACTGGAAGACTTGCCTATAGCCTTCAGAGCATTCGAGTAGTTGATCAGACGTCTGAATATTACATACAAGATGGCTGCAGACAGCAAACTATATTGAATAGAACATGGATACAAGTAAGGAAAGACTTTGTGCCAGAGATAGTATGGTTGAGAAGGGCAAAAGTTTGTGTTGTTCAATGAAACATCTGTCCATTTATTTTCTGGAATGTTAACAAAAATTAAAATAAACCTTCTATCTACTGCCATTCTAACAGTTATACAATTAAATAACATTTCTAAACATTAATAGAGAACATTTTTTATTAGTATCATCCAACTACATATTTAGCAACAGATGCCATCAACCAGCCAACCTAGAAACATCCCTCCAGCTTCACTTCGATATTCTTTTGTCGGCATGCCGACGAAGACTTCGTTGACGAAATCGATGATGCAGGCAACGACGTTGGTGGCCAGCAAGTGCATGAAAGCTATGCTGAACCAGACCTTCTGCGTTCGAACCACCATCTTTGAAATACAAATTTCAAATCAATATATCAGCTAGAATTTTTAAAATATTTATTTAAAAAGTTGATTTTAATAGTTTCAAAACAGCGGTCACTTTATGGAACTTGTACAAGAAAAAAGCTTGCAGGAAAATGAAGACGATTTGGAGGCAAGTGATGATGACGTCACAGATGTTGTAACAACTGTTTGATGATAATCCGGATATGTAATATTGAGCCAGCTGAAAACCATTGTTACACGTATATCCGGTACCAAAAACTGTTAATGTTGTTTTTATTAGTTCAGGTTCTAAAATAATGTGATATGAAGAAAAATAACTACTATACTCATTATTATTTCTAGTAAATGTCTAAATCTAACAAAGTGGTTTCAATCTGAACATAAACGTTACGGAAAATAATAATTAATCATACAAAAAGATTATTGTTACAGTTTTAACTAACATTTAAAAAAACTAAGGGATAAAATGAAACAAATTACTTAGAACTCCGATCCTGAGATGGAAGTTGACGTCACCGATTCTCAAAGTCACCGGATCTTTACTCTTCTTCAACTTCCTTTCACTCCTGACACTCTTCACTCGTTTTTGCCTCTTATCATCTTCCTCTTCCTTCTCGCCCTCCTCGTCAATTTTCTCCTTCAACTTATTGTGTCGACGTGGCGATTTTGGCGATCGCTTGGCCGGCTGTGGCGAATCGTCGCGTGCGTCATTGTCTATAAAGTGAAAGATGTCGTTTGTGGTGTCTGTATCAGTTGAGACTGATGTCGTGTTCAGTATGTCGTATTCCTCTGTGTTGTTGGTAATGAATGTGGTGTGGTTGTTAGTATTTTCGGTAGTGGTGTTGCTGTTGTTGTTGTTTTTTTCATTTGTTGTTGTTGTTGTTGGCATTTGTTTTGTTTGTTTCTCGTTATTGCTATCGTAGTTGTGTGCGGTGGGTATATTTTGTTTTGAAATATGTGTCACTGTTTGGCTCGAGATTGACTTGTTGCTACATTTATTGAGTGTAGAATTTTGTCATTTTTTTCGTGCTATTAATGAAGTTTTAATTCAAAGTTCATTATTATTGCTATTAACTGTGCTACAGTTGCTAGAGTTACTGTTGTGTGGTTGTTATATTATATTCAAGAAAAAGCATGAGAATGAAACCTCAGCAGCAGTTTTATGTGTTGAACATACGAATGATGAATTAACAAATTTCATAAATATTCATAAATAATCGCGTGTGTTTATGCGTGTGTTTGTGCGTGTGAATGTATGTATGTAAGTGTGTATGTGTTTACATTTTTATTTATTTATTTTCAGATCAGAAATATCGACTTAACCTATTTTTATGGCATGCTCTTGGTAATCTTTCAGATTCTCCCCCTCCATTCCTCCGTGCTCCCTACCGTGAATCCTGTTTCCGTTTTCATTTTTCTCTTCACTCACATCTCCCAGACCCTCCCCGTCGTCATCTTCACCATCACCATCCTCTTCTTCATCGTCACTTCTCCCGGCATTATTAGCGTTATCGTCGTCGTCGTCGTCGTCGCCGTAGTAATATACGTGGTCAGTTTTGGCTATTTCAGATCGGCGCTCCTTACGTCTATGGTAGAATAGGAAGATGTAAATGTAGATGAGAAGTACCAGGGAGAGACCATACAGGTAGATCTGAAACACCTGTATTAGTTAGTTTGTTTGGTTAAGAAGTAATTTTAATTAAGTGATTAATTAATTGAGTAGTTTATTGCTTGTTATCTGGTAATTAATTGTTGAATTATTTTTTTTATCTCTTAACATGATCAATTCGGTGTTTGATACAATTCATTGGTTCCGGCGTTGTATGTCTTCAATCGCATGGTATCGTTCATTATCAGTTGCTGTGAATTTCATTTAATTCATAACATTGTTTGACTGGTCATATTCCTATATTTACTTTTAATTTAAAATGCCTTTCTGCAAATAAAACTTAACAATAAAAGATTCTAAATCTAAAAATAGACTAAATTATAAAAAATTTAAAACATGAGACATGGCTTTTGCAAAAAATTATTTAAAAAACACTATACAAATACTCTTACGACAACAAATAATAACGACAACAAAATTATTTATACTTTTTAATTTTTACACATAGAAGAAGCAGTTAAAAGACGCACCAACCTGCAGATACAACCCATTATAATTGCTCTTCACTTGCCCATCAATTGCACCAGCATCACCACCACCATTCTCTTCATCCTTATTGTTCATCTCTTCATTTCTCAACATCCGGTAGTAAGCGGAAGTCACGGAGAAAACAATGGATAGGGATGAAAGTGTGAATGCATACAGACTCCCAGTAAATCTTGACATGTTTTGAGAATTTTTGTTTGTTTGTTTGCTCGTTTGTTCGTTCGTTTGTTTGTTTGCTTGCTTATTTGCTATTAAATAAAAAGTTTACACTAGTTTTTAACTAATACTTTTTGAAGTAATACATTTTTTTAAATGTCCCCAAACGAAATGGTTACAGCTTGTCTATTGAAGGTTAGCGTGAAAATAATTTACGAGGCATTCTTTCAAATGACATTATAGTTCAAAAGCTCATAGCTTCTGTTTTCAATTCTATGTGCGTGCATACAACAACAACCAGCTAGAGTTATTTAACAATAAACTATTGTTTTCTCATGAACGAGGCGATGCTAGATTAATCTTTTGTTTGTTTGCCTCATACGTCCATTTTCCAGATTTTATAAATTATTTTCAACCAAGAAGTGTTTTTCATTTTTTCTAAATTTCTTTTTATGCTCGATGTTTATTTACATAGTGAATTGAATGTTTATGTTTTGGAAGACGTTTGACAACAACAAAGATTTTATTTTTCACTTATTTTCAATTCCTTTTGTTTCATTTGTCAATTACTTGCGAATAAATGTCTGGCCTGCTTCTAGATCTTGCCTATGTTCGTGGTGGTTCAAGATATCTTGCCTATTACCATACATAAATATGTTCCTGGTGGTCTAAGTGCTAAGTTTTGTGATACAGTAAATGGTTGCATCTATAAATATCTCAGAAACAAAATCATTAAGAAGTATTTTTCCTTTGTAATTCATCAGTTTATCAAATATTTTATCTGCTAAACCAATGCATTCATTTATTCATTCATCCTTTATCCATCTATCTATCCATCCATTCATCCAACCAACCAACTATTCATTGATTCATCCATCCATCCATCCATCCATCCATCCATCCATCCATCCATCCATCCATCCATCCATCCATCCATCCATCCATCCATCCATCCATCCATCCATCCATCCATCCATCCATCCATCCATCCATCCATCCATCCATCCATCCATCCATCCATCCATCCATCCATCCATCCATCCATCCATCCATCCATCCATCCATCCATCCATCCATCCATCCACCCATCCATCCATCCATCCATCCATCCATCCATCCATCCATCCATCCATCCATCCATCCATCCATCCATCCACCCATCCATCCATTCATCCATACATCCTTTTAAACTCAGCTGTAATATAATTCAATCATCATTTAAAATGACGTATTTATGTGACGTATATATTGACGTATATATATATATATATATATATATATATCTATATATATATATATATATATATATTATGTTAAATAATGTTTGATATGGCGTAATAAAAAATTTCACACACACACACAGATATATATATATATATATATATATATATATATATATATATATATATATATATATATATTAGATAAATAGCTTTTTTCATAAGTCTAAATCGATTGACATGTTGATTGCTGCAGTTGAGTAATGCAAACTGCTATGAAAAAATTGGTGATATTGATAATATAACGTAGTAAAAGTTTGTGTGTGCGTGTGTATGTGTGTGTGTTTGTGTTGATATAGTAATGTAAATAGATTTTACAAAGTCGATATGCAAGCATTTTAATTAACCCATCCATTCAAATGACACGTTCAACTGTTTTCAGGTGCAACTGGCCTCCGTCCAATTGTTAAAACAATTAATTTTTAATTAAATAATTTATCGGTTAATTAATGAATTAATTGGTGAATGAATAAAACTAAGAATGAAAGAAAGAAAGAGAGATTTTTTCTGAAAAAATTTAAAATTGTTAAAAATTAGCAATTCAAATGAACTTGTTAGAATGTAAAAAAAAATATGGCCAAACCGGCATAAACTAGAACTTATTTGTGTGTGAATATTTGAAAAAACGGGCGTGAGAAAGTTTACACCAAAATCGGCGTGAGTGGGAGCGTCACATACACATGTTTGTTCCGTCTGCATCCTATCCGCAAACACTTCCTATCCGCATTCGCCATGCGATCCTGATTTTATAATGACAACCGTAGAAAGCGATATTATTTTCGGGTTTTAAATTGAAAAAAGTGACACTTTGAGATAGGTTATTCATACATGAAATAATTTGAGTTTTTAGTCAGGCTGGAGCCTCATTTAACCGGATTTGCAAATATAAATCCAGTCGGAGTCAAAAACGGATTTGTGCATCATTTAATATTGTTATAATTTATGACTACGGCTTCATAAGCTTGCATACCCTATTCTCAAACTCATCACAAAACAATGTTACGTTATTGCACCCCTATCTATAACCCCATAAATTAAATTGAATCTCATACAAATTTAATTAATATCTCCTAATTGATTTCTGTAAATAAATGCCATTACCTATAAGTATACACGTGGAAATAAATATACATTAAAACATACGTATATAATGGAAACATGTATGGTCGGATTAATACATGCATGTTCCATCCATGACACAATGCAGGCAGTCAGTGCTTGGCGTTAACGTCTATCTAGCTATTTAAAATTTCTTAAGATATGAATAAGGAAGTCCAATTAGATGGTCCAATGCTAATTCTTTTCCATTCAAATCATTTTTAGATGAAATAAAATAGATAAGAAAAAGTTTATTCAGAAAAATTTCATTAATTTTACAAATTCAGTTGTTCCGGCGGTTTTAAAGAGAAATATTTGAAACTGCATCTGCGCAAGCAACATCTGCAAATCCGCGGAGTGTTATGCAGTTACCGCAGTTTGAAACCGCATTGAACTTTCATACCTACATCGTACAAAATTTGCACATTCAATTTCCGTTTCAAAGTTTGGTACAAACGAATATGATGTGCATGTATTTGTATGTAATGTCTATGTATGTTTTAGTGTGCATGTATTTGTATGTAATGTCTATGTATGTATCTATTTGCATGTATTTGTATGTAATGTCTATGTATGTTTTTGTGTGCATGTATTTGTATGTAATGTCTATGTATGTTTTTTTGCATGTATTTGTATGTAATGTCTATGTATGTTTTTGTGTGCATGTATTTGTATGTAATGTCTATGTATGTATCTATTTGCATGTATTTGTATGTAATGTCTATGTATGTTTTTATGTGCATGTATTTGTATGTATGTTTAAGTATGTTTATGTATGTACCGGTATGCCTGTATGTGCTCTTGATACGTTTGCCATTTGATTTTAATGCTAATGTAGATGGAAATTTGCTACTAAACAGCCAGTGTCATTTACATACGGACACATACATTCACTTAGATACGAACATACATACACATACACATAAATGTTCAATAGTACACAAGTCCATATCATAGAAATACATTTAAGTTGTGACGTGGGTCAAAATTGAAGTTGAAATTAAGGTTAGGATTCAAATTAGACCCTAAAATAAACTTATTTATTATTTAATTATTTTACCAATTTTCAAACACGTGTTCAGTTTATGTTACGTTCACATTGCACAGACACGCACACACACACTCACACACACACGCACATATGAACGCACACACATACACACATATTTGACGTTTAAATTCCATTAAAAAATATTTTTAATAATATTTGCACTTGAATGCGATTTTACATTTTGACTCGCGTGAATATCTTAATAATTAAGCAAATAATAAAACTGAGGACCAGCTTCACATGAACTGTGTACAGAGGGCCACAGTCACTGAGCCAGCCAGGTGCGTAACGAAGCGGGGGTATCATTTGTAACGTTCTTTAAAGGCATGTTCTTCTAGGAACTCATCATTATAATACATATATGCATTTATTTTTAAATACCACATTGATGGAGAAACAAGAAAAGAGAAAGAAAAAAAAAGGAAAAGAGAGAGAGAGAGAGGAAAGTGAGAGAGGAGAGAGAGATTGTATAACAAAAACTAACACCATGAAAATATGAAGAAGCAGATGTATTGATATCGCTAGCAAAAACAATATGAAAAATAATGATGACAAGAATGATGATGATGATGACGATGGTGGTAATGATGATGACGGTAATGATAACATTAATAATAATAACAACAACAATAATAGTAAAAGTTGGAAAATCAGGGATATGAGATTCGTTTATTGGCGCTTAAATCTGTGTCAATAATAACAATCCCACGCCATGCATCAAAATAAAAAAAACTATCACCATCGTCGTCGTCATCGTCATCATCATTCTCAATATTATAATTATTATAATAATAATTATTATTATTGCTGTTATAATTATTACTATTATATTTTTTCTGTTAGCGTTTAACAGCTTTACATTTTAGTTTATTAACATTATTAAATTTTATCAGGAAATTGTTTGATGATTGTTATAGCAGTTATTAATATTATTATTATTATTATTATTATTAGTAGTAGTAGTAGTAATAGTAATAGTAGTAGTAGTAGTAGTAGTAGCAGTAGTAGTAGTAGTAGTATTATGTGACTACATGTTACTACAATTAGATTGCACATATAATTGCATCACGTACGTTATTCGTTACAGTTACTTATGTACACAGTCCACAACCATTATGCCTATTTTTCTGTTTTATTTTTATTATTCTTTAAAACAGCAAAATCTGGCAGACGACAGATCTGTAATTTTTTAAAAACTTCAGCCAACATATACAGCTTATTTATTAATTATTTTTAACACGTTAAAACACCTTTCCCAGCCAGGAAACACTCTTTCAAAAAAGAAAATTGACACAAAATTAAGCAAACAATAAATATAGGATCACCAAGTATTACCAGGTACCTCTGGCTTTTGCCCCGAACCCGTTAAAGGAGGCTAGACCCGCCCATAAAAGATAAGATTGTTATGTTATAAAAGATAATTAGGTTATCCTACTTGATATGTTATGTACGTGCCTGCATAATGATTATGTTACAAATATTTGTTATACGTCGTATTTACCTTCCGAAGTATCTAAAATAATAGAATGTCATAATGGTTCGTTAACTGTTGATGTTGTTTATATATATATATATATATATATATATACACACATATATATATATATATATATATATATATAATACATTGTTTATGATATTTCCAACAGCAGTAATAAAAATAATAATTTGAAAAAAATTAAAAAAATGAATGATGAATAGCAACAATGATGGGCTGCGTGATGGCTCAATGGGTAGAATCGCCTGGTTCTGTTGTTGTAGTGACTGGATTCGAATGCATACAGATCCTCGCCTATCAGAGAGGGCATAAAGGGCTTGGCGTTTTGCCCTATCTAAACAAATTGGCGTTTGTTTACAGTTGCTGGACTAAATATTTTCTAGCAAATTGAAGAAGACTCCAGCAGGATTCTCTATAGTCTTTGATCAACAAGAGGTGTTGTTAGTTTTGATGACGGTTTTTATTTTGAAAATAATTGTGCCATGACTTTCCAGCAAAATGACATGGTTAAAACGTGATTCAATTTTTTCTTCCTCTCTAATTGTTTAAGCGATAATTTTAGGGAACCTGATTTTGAGAGGATGTTGTCAATTTTGATGTAATCGATTGTCGATTCTTTGTATAAGCATTACATCTCTTTGTTCTGACTACTTTTGAAATAGTTGCGCAGTCTTAATCTCGCTCTTTCTGTGGCATCTTTTTTTGATATAATGTAATGGCCTCCAATCTTTGCTGACAGCCGCTAATTGGCATTTCTAGCCAATTTCGAACAGCTTCAACGATTAGATTATCCAGGTTTCTGCTACTCAGGTCAACAAAAAGCTGTAGCTGCGAAGTTCAAAATTCAGCTGGGAGAAAACAGATCTTCTTAAAATTTGTAGATTTTGCTTGAGGCCTACATCCAACTTTGAGGTCTTTTCCAACAGCTGAATGACTTTTGACTTTAACTCGCTTTTTGCTTTGGAGTCTTTGCATTCATAATCGTATAACTTGCCTAGGTATGAAAAAGATTGGCCAATCTCCACACTAGAGATTCGAACATCATCAATCGTTAATCGTGGCAAAAATTGATCATAGATGCTATCTTTCTTCCTCATTCTAAACGAACAGCATTTATCAACTCTCATTTTCATTTTTGACCAGCTACACCAAACTTGATTTAAATCGATCAGTTTTTGTGCTCCATCAGTGCAGAGTCATCGGCAGATTAGAGCCATGATCCAGTACGGTATTAATGTCGGAAGTTGGGCCCCAGAGATAGCCATATTGTTTATATTTACGACTGTCTAGGATTTCCGTGAGAGGATTAGAGCAAGTATTAAAATGCAGCGATGAACTTGGGTTTTCTTGGAGCACACTTTTTCTAACCGGTATTGCTATTAACCGTCAATTTATCATTAACAGATACTGATATAGAATAGCTGTAATATATTGATGTTATGAGATTTACGAAACAGTTGTGGAACATGGTGATATTATAAGTCCACAATGCGGGCAACTTGTTACGTTTGCGGTATTAGAGAGATCAGAATTATACCAATAAAACCATTAAATTTAAAATATTTGCTGAAACGTATTATTTTAAATTTAAAAACACAGCAATTTTTTCGATAAATTATCCTACAATTTGATATAAATATAAATAATAATAATAAACAATGAAAATAGTAACAATTGTTAGTATTATAACAACACAATATAAAATAAATATAACAGCAATAACAAAACCAACTTGGAAGGAATAATTTCCCTCTTTTTAGCGCTAATTTCGTACGATCGCGCCATTTTTCCTTCTGCCAGACTGCGATTTGTTGTGGTGGCGGTTGTTGTGGTGTATCTATCGACCACAAAGTTGCAATAAGTTGATTTTATATAGAGAGTAACAAATGATTAACAACTACCAACAACAAATGACAACTGGCCAATTTCAAATAAGCTATCTAATGATCAACTAAAATCAGCTTTTTTCAACTAACATCTATTTTTTTCTAAAAGTTCTTTGAATAAATAAATTAACGACTGTTGTTACTCTTAAGCAGTTTAAATAATAAAACAATACTTCTAAAATAAAATGAAGCGCTTCAATATTATATTTGTTTATCTATTCTATTTAAAGTTTGAACTTATTTAAAGGTAACTTAATATCCATGAATTTTAAAACAATTTAGCTGATGCGAGCTCACCTCGCGTTAGTCTGTAAAAACTAATGCATTCAGTTCAACGATGGCTTTTCATGCCTGTAACTATGTATGTGTATGTGTGTGCGTGCGTGTGTATGTGTGTGTATTGTATATGTGTGTATGTATTTATATCTGTGTGTGAGTTTTTGTATATATCTATGTGTGTGAGTGCATGTATAACTGAATGTATGTATATATGTTTTATATAAGTATGCATGTTTTTGTAGTACGTATATACGCTTTTGTTTAAATTAATATATTCAGAAAGAGAGAAAGTTACGGGAGAGGAGAGAGAAAGAGAGAGAGAGACAAAGAGATGTGTGGAAGACCAACTTTTTCCATTTTTATAAGTTTTATTCATCAATTTGTGACGATAAACGTAACTACGGATGAGTTGAGTTGATGAACGAAAATGATAGGAACATCTGATGACAACAGTGAAATTTCAGATGGCTCCCTGCATCCATCTTCGTCTTTTTGAGTCATATTTTCAATTTATTGATTTTTTTATTTAACCGTTCGTCATCTATTGACCATGAAAAACAATTTAAACTATCTCTATCATTTATTGCTATTATTATTAATATTATAATTATTATTAATATTATAATTATTATTATTATAATAATTAATGTTTTTGTAATATTATTTTATTATATTATTTGTTTAATATTGTACATATTATAAATATTATATATATATTGACCTGATTTAACTAAAAAAACACAAAATACGGTGTGTTTGTGTATGTATGGATTAGTTGATTCCCCAAACACACATACACATATACACACACACTCACCAACAAATACATACACACATGCACACACGTACATATACACACACTCACGCACATACCTGCAACGCAAACACACTTTATGCAAACTTTAATTGAGTAAACTTGGCATTGTAAACGTTTTACTACAAAAATAATTGGACAAGATGATGAGTGAGAATGAAATTGATGATGATGATGATGAATGATGATGATGAAGGTGGTGATGATGATGATGAATGATGATGATGAAGGTGGTGATGATGATGATGAATGATGATGATGAATGATGATGATGATGGTGATGAAAAAACATTATCAAGTTAAACAAATATAGAGTTCTACATACAATATAATTTAACACGTGGTTCATTTCAATGCTGGTGACATCACTAATCAATATTCATGAGACGCTGGTGATGGCGATGATGACGACAATGATGAATAGTAGTTATAAACATATTGTCTATGTAATGTATCACGATGATGATGATGAGGTTGATGATGAGGATGATGATGAGGATGATGATGAGGATGATGATGAGGATGATGATGAGGATGATGATGATGATGATGATGATGAAGAAGATGATGATGAAGATGGTGATGATGATGACGACGACGACGATGATAATGATAATGCAAAAATATTATTTTTATAACGCAAACTTGATGTTGGCAATAATAATGATGATGAGAATGACGATGAAAATGATTCGATAAAAATCATATAAAGATGATGATGATGATTCATTTAATTATTATTGCTATCATAGCCTGACTAGCTAACAGTTAGTCAGGAGCTAAACTCAAATTTTAATTAATTAATTGATTAATTCTTTGATTGATTAATTGGTTAATTATTTAATTATAGTATTACAAATCTTTTTGAAAATCATTAAAACATCTATTAAATAATGTGACACTCAAAGCTTTCACTGCCAGTTTAAGATGCTTTGTGAAAATTGTGCGTAGGGTACAACATTTTGTAAAATGAAAAATGGGAGGCTTCCATCATCAGATGATGACGTTTTTAATAATGAACCACAATATAGTAAATGTTTTTTATGATTTTTATAATAAATTAACATTTATTATTAACTTATATGCACACAAACACTTTCCTCTGAAGAAAAACATTCTTAAATATTTAAATCCACCGACATCTTTGGAATGAATAATTCTAAATTAGTTTAATTATTTGGTTTAATTGTTTGAGGCTTATCCCATTGTTAAAGATGGTAGTTTTCAGAAATGTTAGTATCGCAGCTGAAATAAAATGTCGCTGCTATCGTTGCTGCTGCTGCTTCTACTCTTTTCGTCATTATCTTGAGTGACGTCATTATCTTTAGCGACGTCATTATCTTGAGTGACGTCATTATCTTTAGCGACGTCATTATCTTGAGTGACGTCATTATCTTTAGCGACGTCATTATCGTCGTTGTCGAAATCATTTTTTCGGATGTCTTTGAAATCCGTGAAGTCAATGTCCCCGTTGTTCACTGCATGTGTACTGACGTGCTCCATGTGTTGTAGTTGCTGCTGTTTGATAAGAAAGCAGTCATGGCAAAAATGGTTGTAGATGTTTTGTTGTTGTTTTAGTTGAGGTTGCTGATGTTGTTGTTGCTGTTGTAAAAGGTCCAGTTGCATTTGTAGATGCGAGCTAGTGTTAAATAGCCGTTGTTGTGGTTGTTGCCTATGTTGTTGCAGTTGTTGTTGTTTAAAACAAATTTGTTTGTGTTGTTGCAGATTTTTGGCATCTTTTTGTTTTTGATGATGTTGAACATCGTCTCTAGGTGTTAAATGGGGCTTTTGTTGATTTATTTCTTGATGGTGTTGTGTGCAGGTCAACGAATGGTTTTGAATTTTGTTGCAATGTTTACAAACAGAAACATCGTCGGGAATTTCTTTTACGTTTAATTTTTCTTCAGATCTTTGTTGAACTTGCGGCTCATGGAAACTAATTTCTTGCAAGTTTTGTTGCTGTTGAAGTGGTTGCTCAAAACGGACTCGCGACGGTTGGTGTTGAGATTCTTGTTTCAAACATCGATGCAAAATACATTGCCCGTTATAAAAGTTCTCAATAGGTTGTTGTTGATGTTGTAGACAATGTTGCTGATGTTCTTTTTGTAGTTGTACAAATTGATGACGACAACAAAAGAGCTGTGGCTGCAGTTGTTGTTGTAGTTGCAGATGTTGCGGTTGCAGTTGCTGTTGCAACCCAGCTTGATTCACTTGGTAATGTTGATCCTGACAGAAAGGTTCAATTGAAAACGCGAAGGAAGGAGTGTGTAAGGCCAAAGAAGATGCCTCATTTGCTTCCGGTTTCTCTGAAAAGATCTTCCTTATTGCGTTCATCTTCATTTTTTTAATTATATACTGCATCACAGCGTTGCCTGCAGTTGTGTTTACGTTTGTAGTAGCAGTAGTAGTGGTGGTGGTGGTTGTTGTTGTTGTTGTGGTGGTGTTAGTAGCTACCGATGTATTAGTGGTCGTATTCGCGGTAATATTAGTATCTAATGGGCAATGAACATTTTTGTTTTTTTCTTTAATAATGCAACTGTTGATATTACAAGCTTTGAAGCTGTGTACGTTATTAATGACGTCACTGAAATCAATTATCGCTGCTGCTGCTGTTGCTGCTGTTGCTGCTGATGTTATTAAAACTGTTGGAGACGTCGTTGAATTACGAAGTTTGTTTCTGTTGCGGTTGAAAGTACTGTGAAAATTTGAGATGAGGGAACAACTGAAAGTTGTTGCGAGTTTTGTTGATGTTGTTGATGTCGTTGTTGTTGTTGTTGTTGGTGGTGGTGGTGGCGAAAATGTAAATATTGTTGTCGACGCTTTTGTTGTTGGCCGTGGCGTTGTTGTTGAACATTGACGCAACGGGTGCTCAATTGATGGCGACGCCGATAATGAAGAAGCTACTGATAGTGATGGCGAGACTGGTGATGAGGATGACGGCGATGATGATGAATGCGATGATGAAGAAGAAGAGGCGTGTTGTTGTGGTGGTCTTGTTGTAGAAAATAAAATTCTGGATAAAAAACATCTTCCGAGCGATTGTTTATATCGATGATTGATCTGTCGTCTGTGTGGTTTTGGTTGTTGTTGTCGTTGCTTACGTTGTTGTTGTTTTTTATTTTGATTACGCGTCTGTTTACATTGCGTTTGTTGTTGTTTGTTTTCTTGTAGTTTAAACTGCTCAATTTTATGTGTACATTGTCTGTGCAGTTGTTGTTGCTGCTGCTGCTGATGTTGTTGTTGTTGTTTTTGTTGTTGGGTTTCTGGTTGTTCTTGATTATAAAAAATTTGTTGTGTGTGAATTCGGTTGTCATGTTCTTCGATATGATGGTGATGTGCTCGGTGTCTTTGTAGATGTTGTGGATGTTGTAGTTGAGGGTATTGTTGTTGTGGATGGAATTGTTGTAGATGGAGTTGTTGTGGTTGTGGGGATTCTGTCAAATCGTGCATCGATCGATTTCGTTTAGTATGCTGTTGTTGTTGTTGTTGTTGCAGATGATGTTGTTGTTGTTGTTCAAAATTTTGTTGGAGATTGTACGTTTTCAAATATTCTCGTTGTTCAAAATGTTGCGTCGAAGCCGAATGTTGCTGACATCGTTTCAAATGTTGAAGAAGGTTTTGATGTTTTTTATTACATTGGTGCTGTATATGGTGTTGTTGATGATGTTTATTTTGTTGTTGTTGATGTTGTTGTTGTTGACGTTGATGTTGTTGTTGTTGACGTTGATGATGATGTTGTTGCATCGATGAACAGAGATCATACTTGATGTTATTTCTCCGGCGGACACTTTGGTGCATTCTGCATCTGCTGGCCAGATGTTATTAGTTTTAATGCTGCTGACCTAACAGTATAATATACATAACATTATATATATATATATATATATATATATATATATATATATATAGAGGTATATGAAGGAGACCATATTTTATACAGTATTGTATGAATTCTACCGAATTGTTGGCATTAACCATTTTAACGTTTGTCATTTTTCAATTTTTCTCACTGGAATTTTTTGGAATTGGTCTAATTTATTAATTAATATTAAACTTAATAATACATTACCATCAACGTCGTCTTCCTCATCACCATCGCCTTACTACCGCCGTTTTAATCATCATAATCATCACCACCACTACCACCCTCATCATCATCACAACCTGATTAGCACAGCCATGGATACGATAAACGATGACGTCATGATGACGACTGACAGACAGGCCAACACCAAAAATGAACTTCCATCTAAGTTAATTAATTAAATAAATAATAAACAGCAGCTATTTAGACTAATCGAGTGGCAAGATGGTGTAGCGGTAAAGTGCCTGGCACTGCTATTGCAATGACCGGGTTCAATTGCAAAGAGATACCCGCCTGCCACATGCCATGTGCGCGATGCAATGCCTCACGTGTATCTACATGCACTGTGTGTTTGTTGGTGATGCTTCTTAAAAATTTTGAAATGAGATTCGTAATAATGAAAATAATAATGAACAACAGTATAATATAAACATAACAAACAACAACAACAGAATACCAACTTTATGATAAAGATCAAAAAATCAAAAGCAAACAACAGCAGCAACAACAACAACAACAATGACAAAACGTCGTCTCTTTCTGTATGATAGTATTTCAATTCGAACAACGTTATCGTTAATAGCATTGCCAAATGTTGTTATATGATGCACACACGTATACACACGCACACACGCACACACTTTTGTAAATACTTCTAAATCAATACATCATACATTTTTTGCGTATGTTAAACTGGAATCTCTTTGTAGTCGAACAAGGTTTCCGCAACTATTAATATAATGCTTTACAACGCCAGGCGCTTTAACCACTTAGGCCATGTCGTTCCCTGGTGTATCATTTTGTGTATTTTTGTGTACAATTGCACGGTGGTATTTTTTATGGCGACACCGAAGTCGTTGCTTGGTGCTAGGTTAGGTTTTGTTATTTATACGGCTATAAATACTTACAATCGAAAGCTCACGAACAAATTATTTTTATTAATATAAACTTATATATTTATATTTAAAAATTGTAAAATACGAAATAAACGTAGAACTATTAAATTTTCAAATGTTAATAACATCAAATATAAATATTTTAGAACATCAATGTATTCCCACCGCTTCAGTAATTTATACTTTATGTGTTTCTATGTACGTTATTACACAAATGTTTCTATTACGTTTTCAAAGATTTTTATTATCCCATTTTATCCCATGTTATGTCTTACCATCCCATGTTATCCCACTCCCACGTTATTCCGTATTATCCCATGTTATTTCATTCATACTATCCCATGTTATTCTGTATTATTCCATTTTATGTAGTTCCGAGACGGCATTCAGCTTCAATCATTGATTTCCCAACTCTTGCCATTCTTACCATCAATTGTTTGAGCACTACCCACTCACTTGTCATCTTCATCATAATGTAAGTATACATTTAATCATTTCTCATCATCGTCATCATCATTATCGTCGTTGTCATCGTCATCATTATCATCCTCTTCATCATCATCAACATTATTATGATCATCATAAAAAATAACATACTAAATAATCACTTCTTATTCTTTAAACCACCGGAAGAAAAGGCAAAAACATACAATTGGTGACTTAAAACCGGACTAAAAACGTGAAATGTGTCATGAAAAATGAAAAATTATATTTGTGGTTTTAAACTAGGAGAACCTAAAGATAATAAAAAATAGTGCTTCATTAATACTCCAGGTAATTAGAAAGATTATTTTAAGCGGGCATAAATACACACTCACGCACTCACACACACACTCACACAACACACACATAGGCATGCATACAATCAAACAAACAAACACACAAACCCACACACACACACACACACACACACACACAGACCCACACACACACACACACAGACCCACCCACACACTTATTCGCGGGTATATACTTGTCGATTAATAACTCCAATTAACCTTATGTTAAATCAGTTTAGAGATATGCTGCTATTCAAGCATCAATATCCGAGATTCGAGACGGCTTTATAAACAACAACATCAGTAACAACAACAACAACAACTACTACTACATCATCAACAACGCTAACAACAACAACCACAACAACAACTTTAATAAAGACAACAACCACAGCGTAAACAACAATATTAACAACAACAACAATAATAATAATAACACTAATAATAATACTAATAACAACATTAATGACAACAGTGACAACAACAAAAAAGACGATAAAAACAACGAAACTTCAATAGCGGCGGAAATGGAATCAGCAACAATAGCATTGGCATCAACAACAACATCAGCAACAATTTTTAAAAAGCAAACATTTTATATTTATAACAGTTATAGCTACATTTATGGTTTATAAGTTTATTACTATCTATTATTTTATTAAGCTAACTATCACCGAACGCTAGAAAACGAAAAATATTTCAACACTATTGCCAAAAATGTTGCTAAAACTATAAACAACATCAACACGAATGATATAAACTACAACACCGCCAAACACGCTAACAATAAAAACACTAACATCAAAATCATAAATAAATACGTCAGTCATGACATCATCAACAGAATCACACGCAACAATAACCATAACTGAAACATGACTACAAGTTACTGTTGAAAAACCCGAACACATGAAGAACAACAACAACAATTACATATTATTTTCGCAACAACAACAAAAATTATTCACGCCACAAACAAACAAACAACAGCACTACACAACAACAGAAATTATTTTCGCAACAAACAAAAAAAAAAACTACAATCATTTACGAAAAAAAACAAACAGCAAAAACAACAATAATTGTTTTCGCAACTAACATACAAAGAAACAACAACAATAGCAATAGCAACAAAGCAACAACTCATAGAGAGAGAGACAACAATGATTTCTTGTTATCGTTTTCTGACGCGTGGACATTGCGTAGGAGTATAAATAAAACACTAGTTCAAGAAGATACAATCATTATATTATGATGGCCAGTCCATGTCGATTCACTGTTATTATTGTTGTTGTTGTTATTATTGTTGTTATTGTTATTGTTTTTGTTGTTGTTGTTATAGTTGTTTAAATGTTGTAGTAATTAAGAGTTTGTGAGATCTAATGGAAAAAATTGGTTTTTTATTCAACAAGTAATAAGAAGGAAATAGTAGTTTGATTTTAGCCTCAAAAGTTCATTCGCTGCTAATACCTTTACTGGTACTGCTACTGTTAGTGAAAAACGCCAACTTGGCTGTTAACAATTCCGGTTGGTGTGTTTATCGTTTGTATCACAGTTCTTGGTGAAGTTTCATAAGTTATTTTGTTTTTGTTGTTTCCGAATGTTTTCAGATTTTGTTATTCTTCTTGTTGTGTTGTGTTGTTGTTGTGTTGCTGTTGTTGTTGTGTTGCTGTTGTTGTTGTGTTGTTGTGTTGCTGCTGTTGTTGTTGTTGTGTTGCTGTTGTTGTTGTTATTGATGATATTTGTTTTTGAGGTGCATAATGTTAATGTTGATGTTTATCGCGAATACTTGGCATGCTTTATTTCGTCATTAATATCACGGCTCATACTACTACCATTACGGCTGCTACTGCTAGTGTTAATGCTACTACTACTATTACTACTGCTACTGCTACTACTATTACTACTGCTGCTACTACTACTGCTACTACTACTTCTACTGCTGCTGCTTCTATTACTACTATTACAACAACAACAACTACTACTACATACTGCTGCTGCTGTTGATGCTACTACTACTACTACTACTACTACTACTACTACTACTACTAATGGTGCATGCCCTGAGACAAACCTCTCCATCCCCCTAAATTATAATCTGGTATAAAAAAATTTTGCATTACTTCCTCCGACATAAACATAAACAATGCAGTAGCACAATAAACAATGCAAACAAAAGAAGGGAGAACCTACATGAACCGTCGTCGTCGTCATCTTCTTCACCATCATTGTCGTTATTATTATTGTTGTTGTTGTTGTTATTGTTGTTGCTGCTGCTGTTGTTGTTGTTTTCGCTGCTGTTGTTGTTGTGGTGATCACGTGTTGTTTGTTGTTTATTGAAACTGACTGATTGGAACGTTGCATTCGCGACTGTTGCGTTCAGGCTGTAGGCTTGGTTCATCAACGTAATAATTATCTCTATTGAGTAACAATAATTGCATTAGCAACAATAATGACGTCAAATATAATATTAATAATAATAATAAAATAATACTAAAATAATAATAATAATAATAATATAATAATAATAATAATAATAATAATAATAATAATAATAATAATAACTATTATACGTTTTAGTTGAAGGCAACGTAAGCCGTGACATGCGGGCGGGCGGAGGTTTTCGACTGAGCCATTTTTCAAAATATAACGGTGTACTGCCCAGAAATTGTACTTAGTTCTTCTTTTTTGACTGAGTGATGATACCATTCTTTTATAAAATTTTTAGTTTATTGCATCTTTCCATTCGAGTAATTGAGAGTACGTCTTATTGTTGAACCACTTTATAATGGATTTTTAATCTGCTGGAGTCCCTGGTAGGAAGAAGGGTGGATATCGCCATTGCAAAATTTAACTCGTGACGTCACTTTGCGTGACGTCGATGATGGATCAGTGAAACTAGCAATAACATTTTACATGATGGCTTATTAATTTGCTATATTTGTTCTATATACATGTTCAAATGAAACAGCTCATTTTTTTTTATTTTTATGTTGTTTTATTTCTAATTTTTTTTTGTCGACGAGTTAGCTCAGTCGGTAGAAGTGCCACGTCTCGCGCTGTTATTACGTGATAGCTGGGTTCGAATACTGCCTGTCCAAAATTCAAATACTATTCATTACATCATGTGTTTATGATGCAGTGCTTGTGGTGTGCATACGTAATGTGTACGTACGTCGTGTGGTGTGGCGTGGCGTGGTGTGGCGTCGTGTGGTGCGGTTAGATAGCGCAGTCTTTACGGCATGAAACTTTTATTTTACGCATTTGAATAACATGCAAGCAGTTCTGCGTGTTTCAGATCTGCGTCATAAGAAACCAAACCAAACATTGCAATGAAAATATATTGATATAATGACGATTAAATATCTAATGTTTTTATGTTTTATTATTTAAATTAAATTATTTTAATTTAAATTAATTTAAATTATTTTGCGTCAGTCATTTCTGAGGCAGGCAAGAACGTTGCATTCTTAAACCGTACTCAGAGTCCTTCCTGACAGATTTCGTAGTAATAAAAAATTTTCATGAGATTTTTTGAAATAAAATATTATAAAATTTTAAAAATGATGAAAATAAAATGTATAAACAATAATAAACCAATAACAATAATAAAAAGTTCAAATAACTAACAAAATAATCATAAAAACAAATAAGAAGCAAAGACATTTAAGATATGAAATACCTTTGTAATAAAAGATGAGAGATTGTGACCGATGGACGGAAGGAAGCAGTGAAAGAATGACATGATGATGTGACGATGAATAACACATCACTCTACAGTAACTCGATGAAAACAGTGATAACGGTGATGATGACGACGATGAGGAGATGCGTCTGAATGACAAGTCACAATTAATAGTTGATTGGAGCAAAAAATGCTTTGTTATGTCATCCAAACGGGTCCGACTACCATGAACATTTTTGTGACAGTTTTTGATCTTTTGTTGTTGTTGATGATGTTGTTTCGTTTGTTGTTGTTGTTGTTTTTGTTGTTGTTGTTGTTGTTTTGTTTGCTGACGATTATCCTGCTGGTATGTGTAATGATACTGTTGTTTGCTTATAAATTTTGGACGGTGTTGTTGTTCGTAGTTTAGTGTTTCAAAATTGTTTTGTTTAAATTGTTGTTGAAAATGTTTATTACGCTGTAGTTTATTCTGTTTAACTCTTTGTTTACGTTCATGTTGACGTTGAAGTCTGTAAAAAAAATTTTTCTTGTGCCTCCTATCAGCAGTGCATCGCTCCAGTGTCATTTTAGTGTAGACATCTGCAAAATTGAATGCTGTGGGCTCCCTTTCATTACCGCCATCTATATTCACGTCATCATCTTCATTCTCATCCTCACCCTCTTCGTTGTCACCATCATCGTATCTGTATCTGTAGTCATCATCACTGACGTCATTATCATAAATTTCATCATCGTTCTCACCAATGATGACATCATTTTCATTGCCATCAAATTTAGCAGGAAAATTTCTCTTATTATTTATATTATTATTATTAATGACGTTACTGATTGTATTATAGTTATTAGTGTTGTTGTTGTTGTTGTTGTTGTTGTTGCTGCTGCTGCTGCTGCTGTTGTTGCGGTTATTGACAAAAATGTCGTAATTGTTATCGTAAATGTGAGCTAGTGTCTGGCAGTGTTCATTCATTAGATTCTTATTTTTTAAAAGGGAGTTTATTTTTGAGATGTTTCGCTTGTTGTAACTTTCGACATCACTGTAGCCATAACTGATACCACTATTATTATTAATTCTATTATTATTATTTGTGGTAGTAGTAGTAGTTTTATTTTTATTATTATTGTTGTTGTTGTTGTTAATGTAGTTGCTGTCTGAGTCTATCAACATCATTAGCAAAAAACGTTCATCTGGCTTTCCATGTAAATGTAGAAAGATTTTTCTGGAGGACATTTTGACTATGTTGTTGTTGTTGTTATTGTTGTTGATGATGATGCTGCTGGCTTTGTTGTTGTTAATGTTGCTAATTTTTTTAATGTCATCGTCAATTTTGTTTACGTTGTTGATGTTTTTGTTGATGTTGTTGATGCTATTAATGTTGATACTTTGACTGAACGTTTTAGTAATGTTACGACCGTTAATATAATTTAAATTTAATTTACTGTTATTACTCTTATTTTTGTTATTGTTATTAGTGACGTCACTGAATACGTCACTGTATCTTTGCATGCAAGATGATCGTGACGACGTCGAGATGAAAACAATGCCATGTCCATCTTCTAAATGAACGTGGCTCGCCTTTGTTTTTGATGTTGTTGCTTTTGTTGATGTTGCTGTTGTTGATGTTGTTGATGATGGCGTTTTTGTTGCCGGTGAAGATGACGATGATGATATCAAAGGAGAAAAAAGTGATGATGCTGACGGCGATAAAGGAGATTGTGATGATGCTGAATTTTGTGTTTTGTTCATTCCTTGTTGTATCATGTGAAATTGTTGATATTGCTGTAGACTTGTATCATAATTCTGCTGCTTAATTTGCAGCGTCTGTTGCTGATGTTGTTGCTCTGTTGGTTGCTGTTGCTTTGCTGGTTGCTCTGGTAGGATTTGTTGTAAGTGGAATGACTTTACTGATAGTTTATCTGCCGTTATTGGCTCGTTTGTTAGCTCGTTAGCTTCTCTTCTTTCTGAGATGTTCCAGCATGCAAACTGAGCTATATTAACGCCTGTTTGTACGGCGTGCGGTGTTATAAAAAGTACATTAAAACTATTTACTAGTCGGTGTTTTTAATGTTATTAAATTTTCCATAATTTTATTAACAATATTTTTATATAATTTATGTGTAGTAACAAAGGCATACCTACACACGCAGGCACACCTGCACACAGACACAACCATGCAAACATGTAAACAGACATAATCATGTAAACCTAAACATACACACCCACATATAAAAAACATACAAACAGACAGACGGACGAAGAGAAAGAGACAAACAAATAAAAATGAATGATAGTACTAACTTTTCATGCATACGTACGTAACGGATAGATAGGATTTCAAATCGAGAGGGCAGGGCTGGACGCCGATATCAACGTCATCATCAACGTCACCAGCGTCGTCATCGTCATAGTTGTTGTTGTTGTTGTAGTCACTCTCGCTATAGTTGCCAATATCGTCATCATCATCACCATCATTATCATTCTCCTCCTCGTCATCGTCGTCGTCGTCGTCATCATCATCATTATTTTTTCTCGCGAGCACAGTTGCAACAACAACTGGTTCATCAACGTCACGTGTTAGAGACGATCTCTTTTTTGCACTCTTATCAGTAGGATCACTATTTCCTTCTTGATAATGCTGCTGCTGCTGCTGCTGATCATCATCATCATCATCACCCTCCATTTCATCATCATCATCATCTTGTTCATCTTCATCGTCATCAGTATTATCGTCACTATTAAGACCACCGATCATGACGTCACCACCAACGACCTTGAACTGACACATTTGTCTCAAGTGGCACTTGCTTCTTACGAACGTGGAGACGTCTGTCCAGCAGCCGAGATGACCAAAATTCTGCCTCACACACCTACTGCTGCCCTGCATGCGACCAAACTTGGCACTGGTGATGTAAATGATGTTGTTGCTGGCTGCCGATGTTGCAGCCGATGTCGTCGGATCAACGCTGTCTCGAGTATGATGTCGATGATGATGCTGTTTTTGTGCTGCTGCTGCTGATGATGATGATGGTGACGATGATGATAATGATGATGATGATGATGATAGTGCTGATGTCGAATATAGTGGGGGAAAAGAACCCGTTTCATTATATGAGTCTGAGTGTCTCAAATACGTTGCTTGTTTGGATGTTTCTGTTGTATTTGCCAAAGATGACGATGATGATGAGTATGATGATGAAGAGGAAGAGGAGGAGGAGGAAGAAGATGATGACGATGGTGAATTTGTTAATTGTGGACATGATATGTGGAGGTATTCTGATTGGCACGCCATGACTTCGTGATTCTCTGTTCGATTGCAAAAAAAATTATTCTGAAATTTCATTTAATCTTTTGATTTTGTATGCACGCGTACGTATGTGTGTGTGTGCGCGCACGTGTGTGTTTTTTTAAAGTGTGTTTAGTGTTTTATGTAGTACACTTAAATGTGTGTGTGTGTATTTATATATGTGTATGTTTAAATGTTTATACGAGTATGACGTAACATTGGTTATGGAGGGTCTTGTGTAAATACAGACAGCATTTAATATTGCATAAATGAACATACTTAAACATTAACCCCATAAACAATTTACATACATGAACTACATACAAACTGCAAACACACTTAAACATAAACAACATGCATATACAAACAAATCCTAGGTAGGTAAAATTAAAAAACACGCAAAAAGCTAAACGGCATACATGAAGTTTAATAAAAATAATAATGAAATTGTTTTTTTATTTGTGTATAGTTTTTAGTCGAAGTTTTTTTTGTTTGTTGTTTAGCCATACAAGCCCAAAATGAGATGATTCTGGTCGGTGTTTTGAAATAAATTAATAAATAAAAATGACAGTCTCTATAGTTCTTGCTTTTATCAAAAGGCTCGCACGCACACACTGACAGAACGTTAATAGGATACATTTACACAAACCACAAATGTGAAAAACCATCATAAACATAATCGACATGCAACATGTATTACAGAACAAAAACTCAAAAAAAATTTATACAAAAATTCGCAATGCAAACTACAACTATAAGTCTAAGCAATTGCCACTTTGATAAATATTTGCGGACAAAAATTTTGAGACCCATTTAAATTGCGTGGATGAAGTTGCGTAACGTCGTTGAGGAATGCTGACTTAGTTGTGCTTGGGATGTTGTTGTTGTTTTTGTTGTAGTGTTGTTGTTGTAGTGTTGTTGTTGTTGCGTTGTTGTTGTTGCTGTTGCGTTGTTGTTGTTGTAGTGTTGTTGTTGTTGCGTTGTTTTTGTTGTTATTTTACTGTTTTTGTTGTTACTTGTTAAATAAACTGCTCTTGTTGTTGTTGTTTTTGTTGTTGTTGTTATTGTTATACTGTGTTTGTTGCAGCTTATATGGTAATTAAGTCACTGATGTTTCTTTTATTGTTGATGTTCTTTGTTGTTATGTTGATATTGTCGTTGTTGTTGCTGTTCTTGATGCTGTGTTGTTGTTGTGTTGTTGTTGACGATGTTAGTGTTGTTGTTTTTACTACCCTGTCGGCTGATTTTGATTTAGTTAATACCGTTGGCGTTTTTGTTGTATTCGTCAAAAATAATTACGACTGCAATATTTTGATAGAGAATTTAAGTTAAAAAGTTCATCACGTGATCCATGTGGAGGATGGTTGTGGTAATGATGCCGATGTAGTGAATGTTATTAATTATTTGAAAGGTATGCTTTGTTGTTGTTGTTGATGATGTTGTTGTTGATGTTGTGGTTGTTGTTGTTATCGTAGTTGTTGTTGCTGTTGTTGTTGTTATCGTTGTTGTTGTTATCGTTGTTGTTGTTATCGTTGTTGTTGTTATCGTTGTTGTTGTTATTGTTGCTGTTGTTTTTATTATTTGATACTGTCGCAATTGATTTTGTTTTGTTGCTTGATAATCTTTAGCGTTAGTGATGATGTTCATGTTGTTATTGTTGCTGTTGTAGAGAAGTAAGTTGATGTGATCATTGAGGTTGATGCATCCATTGATGTATTTGTTGTTATCAATGTTATTGTTATCGATGTTGTTGTTTTGGTTGCTGTATGGTTGTTGGGGATTTTATTGTTCTTTTTATGTTTTTAACAATGTTGTTGTTTTATGTCTACTAATGACGTTCTTACTGTTATTAATGATGTTATTGTTGTTACTGTTGTTCACGACTGGCAATGTATGTATGCGGTTGTATGTGGTTGTATGTAGTTGTAAGCGGTTGTATGTAGTTGTATGCGGTTGTATGTAGTTGTTTGGGGTTGTATGTAGTTGTATGTAGTTGTATTAGTTGTATGTGGTTGTATGTAGCTGTAACTAGTTGTATGTGGTTGTATGTAGTTGTATGTTTGTAAGTAAGTAACATAATATGCCACGTTCTTCA